GCGGCGGCCTGGCGACCCCGTCTCCGGCCGACCACTTCAATCATCCCCAGCGTAGCCTGCGCAAAGGGGTGAGGGTTAGGGGCCTAAAAAGAAAAGGAGTGATGCATAGGAGATCAAGACCAGTACCTGACTGAGCCTCAAAAGGACCATGTTGTCAAGGTCATCCTCGGAGCCTGCCGAGATACGAGCCTGGTCTTCTGCAGGCAGAGTGATAAGAGTCTCCAGCTGTACGTCCCCTAGGCTTTGGGGCAGGGGAGGGATGCAGAGCCTCGTCGAGCGACCCTCGGTCGCCACCTCGTAGGTCATTTCGGGTGGTGATGGAGGTCGCCCCAAGGCAGTGCCCTGAGACGACCCGACAAGGTCGCCACCCTGCATCACGGGGTGTGGAGGGGACTGGCCAGCCATGGTACCCGGTTCCTGGGTAGCATCTTCTTGGTCCTCCACCGCAATTACGACCGGCTCTCGAGAAGGACCCTCCTCGTGGTGAGATGAAGAACGTTTGCCCTGACCCCTCGTCTCTCTCTTCCTTTTCCTCCCTGCGGTGAAGCGACCGAGCAGGAGATCGTTGTCCATCTCTTCTCCTGAATCTTGTAATTCCACTGGAAACAAAGGAAATGGTCAGCCTTGGGAAAAGATAAACTAAACATCTGGGCAAAAGAAAGGGTCACCTACCAAAAGGACCACAATCAAGACCTTCCTCAGGAATGTCCTTCAGCCGGTCAGGCTGATGCCCCCCGGGGATGTCCCTCAGCAGGTCGGGTTGGTGGCGAAGCTCGTCCTGAACAAACTCAAACCCCAACCCGGCAAGGGTTTCCTCTGTCACCACCTCTTTGATGTTCATAACTCCCTTATTGCAGAATTGGCGGGTGATAGACAAAAGGGTGGCATCAGGTGGGGGGCGTGGGATGCGACGGAAGGAAGGGCGCCCTGAACCCGTGAAAGGAGATTCGGGCCCCGTCGAAACAAAGACAAAGAAAGGCTTCCAATCTTTGGTTGACCCCTTCTTATCACTAGCAAAGAGTTTACTGGACCTCTGGGAAAGACTGGCATAGGACGCCCAATCCTTATGGCCCTTGGTCAGTTTGAAGGTGAATATGAAATGGTCCAAGGTCGGATTCACCCCTATATCTTTGCACCGGACCAGGTAACCGGCGATGTACTGGTGAGAGTTGGGGACCAGTTGGCACGGGAGAAGGTCCACCACGTTGAGGAATTCGATCAACAACGGGTGGAGTGGGAAGCGTAGCCCCTTCCTCAAAGACGCCAGATGGACCGTGAAGAACCCTGACGGTGCGTCTAAAGCAGTTTGAGTACTGGTGGGTCTCATGACCTCGATGGAGGGTCCAACCATGTCAGTGGCATCGGCGAACCCCCGGTCAGTAATTTGACAATGGCACAACGCCATGATGTTTTCGTCCAATTCAACCCTTGAGCCCTCATCTACCGGAGTTGAGGAAGGATATTGCTTCCTCAATCGACGTCGTTTGTGGCCAGGCACGGCCGACGGCGACGGCCGGGGTGATGGAGTGTGGCCGGGGTTACGGTCAGAGGCCGATTGGCCGGCTTGGCGAGAATTGGGCGATGGGGTAGCCGAATTGGAATCCGAGACAATCATGGCGGCGAGAGAAGGAACTGACCTGGATAGGAAGAAGAACGAGTCGGGTGAACAGCGGAGTTGCAGACGAATGGTAGTGAAGAAGGCGAAAGGAAGAGATGGCGTCCAGCGGCGGTTTTTAACTGACAACAGGAAGGCGAATCGGCAGGCCATGATTACTTATTTGTGGAGATCGTGCCCAAGTGTCGTGCGGAACCCAAGGAACGGCCCAGATCTTCGCTGGAGCGTCCACGTGGACTTTGCAAACTCCCCACTCCTCCGCTTGGCCCAGCTGAGGACTGAGGAGTTGGGGGGCTTATGATGGGCCGATATCCAGAGGACGGCCCAAATGAACCATTTAAACAGCTTCGGGTCAAGCACCTGTGGAATACTCAAGCTGGGCCGGCCCAAGGAGCTGGGCCTAGTTAATCTCAGGCCAAGCGCAGCTGGCAGAGTCAGTCCGGAGCAGGAGACGGAGCTGATTGGCCGTTACGGAGCTGGAAAAAGGGGATCGCGCCCTTGGGCGGGCGAAACTCCATCGGTTACGCCTCACCTTAATGGTGGAGAGCTCGTGTATAAGTAGAAGGGATCCGAAAGGGGAGAAGGGAAGCTAAATCAAGCTAGTAATACACATCCAATTCTCGAATTCTTGTTCTTAATTTTGTTCTTACGATCCGCTCTGTAAATCAGATCATTTGGTGGATTTATTGTCCATCAATCACATGTCTCCAACTTAAGAAAATTTTATTCCTTACAATCTCATCATGGCCGAACATTTGATTTGAGAAGTATTTGTTAAATTATTCTCCACTTAAGTGTTTAAAGTGTATTTTATTTGACACCAAAAAATTAATATAAAATTATTTTAAAATAAAAAAAAATACCAATATCATTTTTTAAACAAGTATACAAATATACTTTAAATATTTTATGTCAAAATAATTATTTTCATAATTAAAATGACAAACCAAAACAAAATATTCAACATATAATATATTTATATATATGTTTCGGCATTATCATGTATATATTTTATATATATATAAACCGTATATATAATATATATTATACTCCACAATATTTAATTTTACTATTTTACAAATATACAAATTATTTATTATCTCATTGTTTAATCATACTCCTTAAATTGTTCAAAGTGTGTGACCCGTATAGGCACTTATAAAGATGACCATAGTATTGGCTCTGCACAAATACTATAAACAATAAGGGGTATCTAGCAACATATTATTGCCTTCATATTATAAATTAAGACGTTTGCACCGTCAAAACCTCTCCATGACTCAGACTCTGTATAACTATATCCATTTGTCTTAATGTCTAAACTCAATGCAAGGGATTAATAAAATCCAACATGTATCTATTAAGTCATTCACTGATTTATCAAGTCTGACGAATAGGAACAGACATCATAAAAACATCTCAGCATGACCATGCAATTTCCTCAGTCATAACTTATCAGTGGGCCCCATAAGACATTAATCTCTTAAAAAGAGTAGTGACAAATCCTATGTACGTAATCTAAGTTTCTGAATACGTGCTGCGACATACCCAAAACAAAGCCTGTATACCATTCTTATTTCATATGGCTTAGGACAATGCATCAAAGCATGCGGGTTCACATATGCAGAAAACGTAATACTTCAAGTCGAACGATAGTTACACCCGTGGTCGCGCTAAAGATGCTTAGAGCATGAACTAATAGTTCAAGCAACATCTTTAGGATGAGTCAGTCTGGCATCTTATTATCTCCAGATAATATCTGCCCGTGTGCGGATGCGACGTCATTGACTATGAGACTAAGTCAAACATCCAACACACACTAGTCTCACATGCATTAACGATATCCTACTCTCGTTAATACTCGACTATGGACATTCAGATAAATATTTATTTCAAGATGTTAGTCTCATCAGCAGAATAACACTATCTGATAAACATCTTTAAATATAAATCTATGAATACAATATTTGTTTACATTAGCATGAGATGTGTAAACATATTATATCTGCCTATACATGATAGAATAACGATAAACAGTTGGCCATCAGGGCACAACTCCAACAGTATAAATATTCGTTCTTTTTTAAATGTCTCATAATGACTAGTTAAAAAAAGACTGAAGAGAATATCTATCAAGCAATCAGTTGCGGATCTATGAATTGAGCTAGATGGAGGCATTATTGGTCGGGAGTCCAGGGCTAGTGCCCTCAAAAAATTTTATAAGCTATTTGAAATGCAATAAAATTATAAATTTCATTCCAAATATTTATTGAGTGTAAAAATTTTTTAACAGGTAATGTGATATTCATTTTATAAAAAATAATTATATGTAATAAAATGCACATTGTGGAGAGAAATGAGAATAAAATCTAGTTGTTGGATCTGATGCATCGTGCGGCTCAGATTGCATCCTGCACTCAGATTTCGAGGTGGTGAATTTTCAAAGAATTTTGGTGCATTTCGACATGACGCATTTTCAAACCATTTTGGTGCACCTAATTTTGATGCAATCCTGAGCATTAGATCTCACAATCTAAAACACCATATTCATTCACATTTCTCTTCTAAGATTGCATTTTCACCATATTATATATATATATATATATATATATATATAGGTTCTGGTGAGAATGAGATCTTATGAAAGAAATAAGAATGAATTTGGTGTTTTAGATAATGAGATCTAAGGGCTAGGATTCCATCAAAATTAGGTGCACCAAAATGGTTTGAAAATGCATCATGTCGAAATGCACCAAATTTTTTTGAAAATGCACTATCTCAAAATGGGAGCGCAAGATGCAATTTGATCCGCACGATGCATCAGATCCAAAGGCTAGATTTTATTCTTATTTCTTTCACCAAGGTGCATTCTCACTTGAACCGACCCATATATATATGTGTGTGTGGGGGGGGGGTAATAGCATGGGTGCCCCCCGTGTTTTACAAAAGGGTGTCAAAACCCCATATGTTTTCAAAAGTTATTTGTAAAGTACCTGTGGTTTCTAAATAGAGCACACATGCTCACCTTACATATTTTTAAAGCAACAATGACATTTATGCCCTTTGTTTTCCCAGATCTTGAATTTTTTCCAATTTCAATTTCCTTTATTATACAAATATATAAAATAAAATATACGCTTCCCATCTCAAATTAGAATTTTTCATAATTTAATTTTGAAAACAAAAGATTTTTTGAAGAATGTTACAAAAGAAAATGAAAAATAAAATATTATGTACAAAGTAAAAGTAATAATAGTTAAAAAAGGTAATGAAAAGAAATAAAAATATAAAAAATAGTCTTTTTCTTTAACTCCATATTTTATTTCATCTTTCTGTTATTCATTTTTTAAAGTCCTTAAAAAATTATATTACTTTTAAAAAAATAAATAGGTTAGAATTTTTAATTAGAGATAGAGTGAATATATGTTATCTAATTTTTTATTTTATTTATTTTACTTTTAGTTATAATGAAAAAGTGTATTTTATTTCATTTTTTGTAAGATTTTCTAAAAAAAATTCCAATTTTTTTTGAAAATTAAATAAATGAAAAATTTAATTTGAGAAAGAGGGCATATATTTTATTTTATTTATTTATGTAAAAAAAATGTAAAGAAAAGAGTGAAATTTGAATATAGAGAAAAACCAAGAGCATAAATGTCATTTCATGTCTAAAATAGGCAAAAGGGTGTGTCTGTGCACTATTTAAAAACCACAGGGTTTTATAAATAACTTTTGAAATTAAAGCAGGTTTTGGCGCTCTTTTTGTAAACCACGGGGCACCCATGCTATCCCTATGTATGTATGTACTCCTTCCGTCCCAAAATATTAACAACATTTGCTTCTTTACCAGTCGCTGGAATTTTTGTTTATTTCTACGTTTTTATTGGTTATTTGATAAAATAAAATATTTTTGACACCTCTTATTTCGAAGAACTTTTTATGTAGTTTTTTAATTTATAAATTTTATTTTTTGTTTTTGTACCAATATGTAAATAAAATGAATTGAAAAAACTTGATATTTTACTTCGGTAATATAAGTGTTAGAAATATTTATGGCCGTAGGGAGTATATATTTAAAGAAAAATATAGTCATGCAATAATGTCTAATTATGAGGACATATTTCTAGTGCACGTATGACGACATTATCACGCCATAGCATTTTTCTTGGACTTAAAAAAAACCTTTACGTGTGTGTGTGTATATATATATATCTGTATGTATGTGTGTGTGTGTGTATATATACACCTTTACATTATGCTCCGACAGTTCGGTTCTACAATAGTGTGACAAGCGGTTCACCCCACAGAGGTAATCTGAGAACACATGACAATTTTGTTCTACTCCATATGCTTATTCCCCGTCCTAAAAATCTTTTAATGCATCCTATCACTATTTGTTCAGTTTGATTTTTTCAAGTCAAATTAGACAAATTTTGAACACCAATTAATCTTAATTTATATTGCATATTAACTTAATAAAATACAATTCTGAAAGTTCTCAATACAATAAATCTAATAAAGTCATTTTTATGTTAAAATATATTACTGCTTTTATTTAATTAAAGCTCAAAATTTGTCCGGTTTGGCTCAAAAAAGTCAAACTGGACAAAAACACTGGGACGGAGGGAGTATGTATTAATTTTTCTTAGTCAAACAAATAATACTCTTTGACTGCAAATTATGAGAAAAGTATATTTAGTTTAATTATATTAGGTTTAGTTTATGGTTAAAGAGTGTTAGTGTTTTTTTTTTGAAAAAAAGGTTCAAATTAAATTAAGATATTTTTTCTGTTTTAGAAAAAGTTTGACAACTCATTTTTATTGATCACTTTTTTTTGTAATCTTTTTTTATGAAAATCAAATTAATTTTAGTACGGATATATGAGTATAGGGCCAAAATATACTTGTGTTCTCAGGTCACCCCTTTGGGATTTTCCCCCTTTTTTACTCATAAAGTGCTGCGAAGAGATGCCAAATTTTACAGGTTATTATATACTCCGTACTCCGTAATTTTTTACTAATTAAACTAAGATGGTAAAAATATCAAAATATAAGTGAAATTATTTTTATTACCTAAATATGACTTCACATTGCGACACCCACACTGCACCCTGTCACATTGCCGTCCAACGGCCATTATCGGAGCTTTGTTGACGTGGGTCCTTGGCGTTGACCACCTTTGGCCGGTGTTTCACCACCACACTGCCACCACCGTCAACCATCAGACATTCATTATTTACATTGCTATATTATCATCACATTGCTAGCATTTATATTGCCAACTCTTATTTAAGAAATAAAAATAATATGCACCTACTTTGATATGTTGTGATATTTTATTCTTATTTAGAGAAAAATATTTACACTTCCAACTCCTATATTAGATGTATATCTTAGAGATCGTAATGTGAACAATATCTCCTTTCATCGTATTTGTTCAGTTAGACTTTTCACATTCTTATTGGTGTACATTTAACCACTTTTATCAAGCATTAAAAAAATATGATCAAATGCTTTTTTTGAAAATTGTTGCAATATAAATTGAATCTTATGATTCATTTTTGTACTATTCTATAACTAGATTTTAACCCGTGCGATACACGATAAGAACACTATAATATTAAATTATATACAACATTAATGGTGTTGTCCGAGGCATTATTTTCTTCTATGCAATTTAAAATCATTATTCCTTATCGATTTGTCAAAATGACCACACGTATTGCATAAATAAGTTTTTGCATTACATGGGTGTTGCACGGTACATAATTTTGTTCACATTAAAATGTGAAAAATGATAATTTTGATTGATAAATCTTCGTATAAAGGATAAATACATATGTACAAATATTACATTATGTATAAATAGAAGTTTTATGGTATTTTATCACAAATTGTAGGCAAATTTTTTTGTGTGGTATTTAGTGTTAAAAATATCAATTCAACGCTCAAGTTTGTGATTGTAGGCGCAAGATAAGTTTTACACGGAGTACTCTAATACTCCGTAGTAACCATTACTAGTATTCCATCCCTTCCTTAAAACCCTTCTTATTTCATTTTTTTTCTAATTCTCTAAAACACTTCCATTTTCTATTAAAAACTACTTTTATTCATACTTTTTCATACCCTACCTATCACATTACTACTTATTTTTACCCATCACATCAGGGACAAAAATCAAAACAGGAACCTTTTAACAAAAGTTACCAAACAAACCCTAATGTTGTGGATAAAGGGTGAGAGCACTGGTAATACCTCTTACGTCGTGGGGCGTGATGAGGCGTTTTAACGCCGGGGGGCGTTAAACACCACTCCCATCGGCGTGATTTGGACGTGATGTGCTCGGCGTCACTTGTCTGACACAATCCCCTCCCCTTTTAACGGCTCTAATAGCCGTTGCACCCCCCAAATTAAAAAAAAAAATTCTTATAAATTCAAACCCCCCCAATATCTCACACCTTCTCCATCTTCAATCTCTTCTTCTTCTCAATTTTTAAATTTCGAAATCACCCCCTCTCTTTTTCCTTCAAGCTCCGGCTTCTTTCCTGACGATCTCCCGTCGAGCGACGCTGCGATGTGGTTCTACCAACAGTGGGGTGATCGACCGCCGATCTACGAGACGCAACAATCGGGGTACGTCGACCGAGATCCGGTTCCGGAGACTCAACCGGAACCGTCCGGATCGAAAAAAGTACACGCTGGAAAAGCCACAAAGCCAAAAGCACGATGACCGAGGCGACACGGTCAATCCAAAAGTGGACGCCAAAGGAGGAGTGCATATTGGCGTCGGCTTGGGTTGACGTCTCCGAGCATCCTATCATTGGTAAAAAATTTATTTTTTCTAATATATTTATGTTTTTATTTATATATATTATATTTAATGGTGTCTAAAAAACTTGTGTAATACATTTTTAAAGGTTCGGAGCAAACAAAGGATGCGATGTGGGATCGTATCGAGGAGAAGTTCTTCACGACGATGAAGAAGGACGGCTTCTACCGAACCCGGGACCAACTCACATCCAAATGGAGCCACATCAACAAAAAAGTTCGAAAGTTTATCGGAGTTTACGAGGAATGCTCCCGGTCTCGGAGGAGCGGGACGAACGACGCCGATGTTCTCCGGCTTGCCACGACCCGGTATCAGGACGACGGGCACCAAGGCAAGGTGCCCATCGATCTTTGGAAGATTTTGAGCCGTTCCCCGAAGTGGCAACAACTCAACAATCCCGACGACGGATCGTTTCGGAAAAGATCCACTGTCGACACCGAGGTTGAGGTCGACGAGACTATCGGTTCAACCGATCAAATCCCTCCCTTCAACGTTGCGGATTCCGATGACGAGGACCCCATTCCACGGCCGATCGGAAGAAAGAAGGCAAAATCCATTGCCTCTGGTTCGGGAGGGTCCGCCTCTGTTTCCGCTTCTTCCCGCGACGAAATCGGCCGGGAAATAGTTGAACAACTTCGGGCGTTCAATCTCCGAGAACAAGAGAGATTGAAGCTAAAGGAGAAGGAGTTGAAGCTAAAGGAGCGGGAGGCCGAGATGAAAGTCATGCAAACCGACCTCGGGAAGTTGTCGGAGATTGGACTAATGATCTACGAGCAAAGAATAAGAGAGATCAAGGAGAAATATAATTTACCTTAGTTTTTTATTAATGTATCTTTTTTTAAATTATTGCCGCTTTTTTTATTTAATTAATGTATTTTTTATTATTCATGTTTCAATTTAATGAAGGTTTGAAGCCCCAATTTGAAGCCCTGGGGCTTCAAACATCAAACCCGTAAATTTTGGGGTAAGTTAAAGCTGACGTGACAGAGAGCCCGGAGCTTGAAACGTATTTCTAGTGCTCTGAGAATATAAATCACCAGTATATAAACATGAAAAAGATTCTCAGCCTGTGTGATTAGGTTTGTAGCCCAGAGAAAGGATTGAGGCAGGAAGAGAGGGATGGGAGTTTCTTGAAAGGGCAGTTGCTTCCTTCTCTATCTGCTCATGATTTCTCTGTCACGCCACTTTTCCAAAACAGCCCTTTTGATCTTTCTTCTTCGCAAGAAAGAAACTCAAAAAGAGAAAGAAGAAAACAAAACATTATTATTACTCCGTATTATTATTATTATTATTATCATCATCATCATTGTTGTTGTTGCTGTTGTGATCCTAGCTAGCTTTCTCTTGTGACCTATGGTGAAGAGGCTGTGATGATATCCTTTTTCCGCGTTTCCTCTTCTCTGGGCTACTGAAATTTAGGGTTTTGTTTGACCCGATCCGTATCTTGGCGGGGCAATTCGGAAACAGACCCGGTTCTTGCAGCCATGGCGGTTTCGGCTCACCACTTCCCTCTGGAAACACGGATCTGAGCCCTATTTAATTTCAAACTTTTGTGTCTTTTTTGTTAATTTCAGTTGAAGATGTTTTACAGTGGAAGCGGATTGGGTTAATTATACTAATTTTGATGAAATATTAGATTTCTTCTTGAATAAATGAATGCATGAAACAAAACTGGTTTTTTTATTTACAGAAATCCAATCTTTCATTCGTTCCTTCATTTTTTTAAACTTCTCATTTCTTGCGAAGTTCTACAAGGGAATTGGTTTGATGTTTTGGATTATGAGGCTTTATGTAAAGTTTAAGAGGGGTGAATTAGTTTCAAGGGTGGTTGCTCCCCCTCTTTCGTGTTCTGTTAAGCCAATGATTATCCCAAAAAAATGATTAACGAGAGGCTCAACAACCCTCGAGGAATGATTACAAGTAGATGTACTTTTGATCCTTAACCTAGGATCTTTAGGTTGTGTTCTGTTCGCTTGATCTGATCATCTTAATTTTTAAGGTCTAGTCTAATCTGATTTGATTGTAGTGTAATTTAAAGTTGTGGCTTCTGGTTTGAGAACTGCAAATGACCTGGATTGGATGTAGAAGGGTGACTTGTTTAAGAACATTCCTATTTTCATCTCCAATGTTTTTTGTTATACTCCGTATTATCTTTTTCTAAATTTGTTTGAGAGGTATAACATATTCTCTCAATATTGTTGTTTCTGTTGTGGCTTTTTAATGAAGAGGCAGCTGCCTCCCTCTCATCTGCACATGATATTTCTGTATGTCTCTTTCCAAACAGCCCTTCATATCTCTCTTGATCTCAAGAAAGAAACTAGAAAAAGAAAGAACAAAACTATCATTCTCTTTGTACTTCTGCAACTGAGATTATAGTGTCCATAATTGACCAAAGCACCATCAATAGTTTCTAGTAGCTATATTACTCCGTGCTATTGTTGTTGCTGCTGCTGCTGTTTTCACCTATGAAAAGTCTGTGATGATATACTTTTCCATGTTTCCTTTTTTTGGGCTACGAAAATTGAGGTATTTGTTTGACCCGATCCGTATCTTGGTGGGGCCAACCTGAAATGGACTAGGTTGTTGCAGCCATGGCGGTTTCGGCTCACCACTTCCCTCTGTAGACGATTTCTCTGTAAATCTCTTTCCAAACAGCCCTTTTTATCTTTCTTCATTGCACAAAGCAACTAACTAGAATGCCACAAGAGTAGGATCCTGGAGGGTGTGTGTATGCGGACCTTACCCAATACCCGTACTCAGAAGTAGAGATGTTTCCAAATCACAACAAACTAAAGAAACACAAAGTTATTATTATTATTATTATTATAATGATGATGATGATTATTATTATCATTATTATTAATGCTGCTGGTGTGACCTATGAAGAGGTTGTGATGATATATTTTCCCTTGTTTCCTTTTTCTGTCCTAAAATTGAGGTATTTGTTTGACCCGATCCGTATCTTGGCGGGGCAGCAAACAGGAAATGGACTCTGTCGTTGCAGCCATGGCGGTTTTGGCTCACCACTTCCCTCTGGAAACACAGATCTGAGCCCGATTCTGGAATATCCGTTCCTTACAAAGCATGAGGCATATGGTGTTTTCTTCTAAGGCAGCGTTCTGTTCAACTTATTTTTTTCTGTTTATTACTTATTCTTATTGTAATCAGATCAGACCAGGTCGTTTTTTATAAAATAAAACATTTACCAGCGTTGTTCTGGACCTATTCTTCAATTCATCTCATATATACAAACCGTTTTCTGCCCATTCTTTTAAATCTTTCCCTTAAAAGATGCATGATTAGGATTTGTAGCCTAGAAAGGACGGAGGCAAGGAAGGGATGGGAGTTTCTTAAAGGGCAGTTACCTCCCTCTCGTCTGCGCATGATCTCTCTCTCTCTCTCTCTCTTTTCTGATTTGATGTTTGGTTAGAAAGGAACAACAACAACAACAACCCAATTGGATCTCACAAAAGTAGGGTCTCATGAGGGTGTATGTATGCAAATCTTGCCCTTACTCGAAAGTAGAGATACTGTTTGGTTAGAAAGGAAAACAAAAGAAATTTGGAAGGAAAAGAAAGGGTAAAGAAAACAACAAAAAAGGCCGTGATGATGTTTGGTTATTTTTTTAGGGCATTTTGTTGAACTAATCTGTATCTTGGCGTGGCAACTGATATTAATGGTAATTGCAGTCATGGCGGGTTGTTCTTCTAAGTGTCGTAGTTCTGAGCCTCTTAAGAGCCCCAAAGGTAGGTTTGGGGTTTCTATATAGTATCCATTCCAAAAGTTTTGCAAAACAAGATGTGACATGATTATATCTTTTATCAAATCATTGATGAGAATATGTAAAGAAGGAAGATATATTTTGATGGTAGTGATTCAAACTTTTATTTTGGGACGGATGGAGTAATAGAAATACTTAACAACTTTGAGCTTGTTACCAGAAAGACCTTTTTTATCTGAGCCCAAAACAACATAATTGCTGTTGAAGAATTTCAGGCAATGCGTTATTGTTCTTATTGTGACCGAAAGGAGGCTGTGATGATACTTGGCCAGTCACATGTTTAGCCTTTTGTGGAATCATTCCATATCTTGGCGTGGCAATCTGGTATTAACCGGTAATTGCAGTCATGGTGGGTTATTCTTTTCATTCTCATAGTTCTGAGCCTCATTAGAAAAGAGCCTCAGAGGTAGGTTTGGGGTTTTGGGTTTCTATATTGCTTTAATGGAACAGAGGTAGTATATATTTACATATTGGTTAAATTGCTCTACTACCTTATGTCTTTGAGACTAATGTGGCATTTTATTTTGAACAAAATGCTTATAATTTTGGACAATAATGACTTACTCCCTCCGTCCCGCTATATTCGTCCACTTTTGACTTTTGGAACTGTTCGTCTAAGCATTTTGACTCATCAAATTCTCTCAATGTGTAAGTCTAAATATAGTCATGTGTGATCTTGTTTGATTTGTCTTAACATATAGATTATTAATATATAATTTCTATAATTTTTTAATATACAAATTACAAGATAAAATAGATTAAAGAAGTATATTGGATGGTGTGCAAAAATGAAAGTGGACAAATATAGTGGGACGGAGGAAGTATTATTATAGCTCTTATGAAGCCATGATGATACCGATCTACTGATTCGGTGGCGGGTGAGGACCCAATCCTTATCTTGGCGGGGCAATTCTGAATGACCTAATTGTTGCAGCCATGGCGGCTTGGGTTTCTCGTTGCCTTGGGTAAACATAACTCTGAGCCTCATCGAAAGAGCTTTCTTTGAACCATGATTTGAAGAATCTTTAAAAAATGAGAGGCTCTGAAGACGACTTGGGATTTCTTTTACACTATGTTTGGTTCAGGAAATTTGGAAGGAAAAGAAAAGAAAATGATTCGCCAAAATGGAAGGAATTTGATTTTTCGTCCTCTTAGTACATTTCTTCTTATTTTCTTTTCCTTCCACTTTTGAGGCACATGTGTTTAGAGGCTGTGATGATTCCGGGTTACAAATTTTTGAGGCATTTGGAGGACCATATCTGTATATTTTTGCAGGGAAATCCTGGTATTGCAGCCATGGTGGATCTGTCTTTTCCTTGTGCCTGCTTAATACAGGCATAACTATGTGGTAAAAACAATGCATGATTTTTGTTTGAAAATATTTTTTAAGGTTGGAAGAGCTGAGATGGAGCATAGGAAAATGCCTGTGCAAGGAGAGGTTGGATGGATATATGGAAGAAAGAATAGTGAAAAGGAACCCGGAACTGATGGGAAGCTTGTGAAATCATAACCTGTCTGCCAGGTTTTTGGGTTTTGTGTAGGCCTGTGGTTTCCCTAGGGAAAGGGAGAGAAATGGGAGTTTTTTGAAAGGGCAGTTGCCTCTCTCTCTCATGCCATGATTTCTCTATTTCCATCTGAATTCCCTAACAGCCCTTTCATCTTTATTTTCTCTAAGAAAGAAAAATAAACATACTCTCTCCGTCCCTTACACCGTTTGGTTCAAGGAATTGAAAAGGAACGGAAATGTTAAAAAAAGGAAAAGAGAGCGGAAGGAGTTCAAAATCTTAATTTTGTTTGGTTATTGATAGGGCAGTTGCCTCTCTCCTCGCCAATGATCTTCATCCCTATACGCTCCTTTCCGAAGAGCCCTATCTTTCTTTCTTCACCGCAAGAAAGGAACACAAGAAAAATAATAGAAGCCATAATCATACAGCAATCTGAGCAATCTGCCTGCAGAGAAAGACCACTACGGAATACTTATGTACGTACCTCAAATAAAATCCAATCCAATCGTTAGAGGAGGCAGTGATGATATACTTTTTCTGTGTTTCCCCCTTTATGGGCTACTAAATTTGAGGTATTTGGTTGACCCAATCTGTATCTTGGCAGGGCAACCCGGAAATGGACCCTGTGGTTGCAGCCATGGCGGTTTCGGATCTTCAATTCCCTCTGGAAACACAGATCTGAGCCTATAAGTTTTTCAAAATGTAATATTCATACCCTTTTTTTTCTCTACTTTACAAGCCATTGTGTTTTTTTAATTAAATACAAGAAGTGGAAATGTAAAAACAGGCAGGAGCAACTAAATCTAGAGGGTGTATATTTTTTGTTCATTTCAGTTGAAAATGTTTTGCAGTGGAGGGGGATGATTCTGTATATTTTCCTAATTTTGATGAAATATTAATTTATCTTCAATTGAAATGTTTTGGCTTGGTTTGAGGAAGGTTGCTGGTGACAGAGTTGCATAATTGTCTCATACTCTCATGGTATGTGTCTGTTTTTTCTCTCTTTTTGTAACTAATACAGCAGAATTTTAGCTGTAACAATGAATCATTCTGTTGTTATTACTATTGTTGCTGATCCCTTGTTTTATGACCTTCATTTGTCTGTTTAGTCTTGTTTGGGAAGAACGTTTTCAATTAAAGTTAGTGTTTTGAATAATTGTCTAAACCATTGCTGATTCCCAACGCTTTTAGGGTACTGGCAAGAAATTAAGGTCTACAGAGTTTTACCCTTCAAAAACAAAGAGGTTGTTTCTTAGTTGGTGCATTTACTGTCCAAAACTTCATCGTAAGTAAAACGCAAGGGATGTTAAATGCAGCATTACGATTTAGTAAAAATTTACGATCCTTTTTTCGCCTTTAATATTCATTGGGTGTTTTTCTTCTTATTTTTGAAATCCATTGGGTGTTATTATATCTTGTTTCCTAATTTGCTTTAATCATTTGTACTATAAAATAGTTAAATGAGTATTTTAATGAATTTTTGATATAGTTTAAACATGTAATTTTTTTTAAAAAAATGTGCATCAATTTTTAATTGAATTGCAAATAACTATAGTTAATCATTGTAAATTTAAAACTGGATTTTGTTTAGGGATAGAGGAAGTATTTTCCCAAGTAGCTTGAAGAGTCAACTATACCTTGTAGGATCTCAATCGCTACCAACTCTTCTAAAACTAATTAGTGTTAGAAGACGGGCATACCCTAGTCTTAATGTGCATTCAGCACACAAGCACCCACAACATTCAATTGTGACTTGGCCCACATAGCTCTGCTACGGGACAATTGATGCACACATGACCAACATACCTTAGCAACTAACAATAATATTGTTCTTGGTGGTTGCTGCCTCTTTTTGTTCTAACCAGTGATTTTCCCAAGAGCTAGGATGAATGAGGATTTCAATTCTTATATCTTCAATCTTAAAGGGTTTGTAAATGAGGAGCTCAACGACCCTTCAATTTTCCCCAAATGTAAAATGTTGGTTGGATCCCATATTCTAACTGGCCCAATATATTTCAAGAGGGTTGTTATAAAGAAATCATTGTCAAGTAGAAGAGTGGAAGAAATCCTCAAAAAAAAAAAAATCACATTCTCACGAAGAGTTTGAAGGTTCCATATGAGACAGAGGGAATATATTTTGGGGTTCGAGGTTTGAAGGTTCCATATGTTTGATGATCTTTGTGCCCTTCTAATGCTTGTTATTTGGGACAATTGCGACTTTTTACTATTGTGACTTTGTAGAGGCTGTGATGATACCAGGCTACTAATTTCGCGGGGCATGTGAGGAGCCAATCCGTATCTTGGCGGGGCAATCCCAAATGATCTAGTTGTTGCAGCCACGGCGGCATGGGCTTCTCATTAGTTTGTTTAGTCAATCAGTCTCTTTTGTGATATTTAGTGCTTTTAATCTACTTTTGAACCATGTTATTAATGTTTCAAAATAGTCTTAGGGTCCGTTTGGTATACGGAATTGATGGAATTAAAATTAAAATTCCATGAGATTCAATTCTATAGAGTTGAAGTCATCAATTCATATTCATTTTTTACACTACTAATTCCAAATTCACATTATTTTTGTGCTACCATACACTAGAATTAGAATTGAAGTCCTCAATTCCAATTTTATAGTTTGAATTTTCGTGTACCAAGCGGGGCCTTACGTATTTAGAGCCAAATAATTGAAAATCAATGGCTAACTGCTTGCCTATCAATATTTCCAACACCCAATGCAAATTATAAAAGGTATTGTTCTCATCTTCTACACACCATAACATGATAATTCAATGTAAGGATGGATTGTTAAGAAGAAGTCACTAAATGATACTACCTCTGTCCCAGTGTATTCGCGTGTATTCGTCTAGTTTGACTTTTTTAAGTCAAACTAGACAAACTATGAACTCCAATTACTCTCAATTTATATGACATATTATCATAATGAAATACCCCTCCATCCAAATTTAATGTTCTCGCTTTGACCGGGCACAGAGTTTAATAAAAGTTAAAATTTACATTGACTTTCCCAAAATACCCTCCACTTTACCACTTCCCCACCCATTCCTATCCTGCAATTCCTGCCCAAATTACCGCCGCCCAACCATCAGAACCAGCCAGAACAAAAGTCTTGCGATCCAAATCTATGAAATTTCCGGCCAAAGAATTTTCTCCCAACCTCAATATTTTAGAATCATCATGGGCATCCTTTCAGGCCTAAATTGAGCTGTTCCCGCACCAAGGTGGAAGAATAGAAGAAGATGAAATAGATTTGAAGAAGATGAAGAAGATCCTTCATCATCGCTGTTCTCCTCACAGATCTGAATCGGATTTCTAAGATTTGACGAAGATATGAGCGATCGAATAGGAAAGAATAAAAAAAAGAAGAGGAGATGAAGATGGAGGGTGGCTGGACCAAATTGGAAGAGTGGGAGGGGGGAGAAGAAAAGAAAAAAGAAGAAGAAGACGAAAAAACAAAAGAAAAAATAAGTCGGTGGAACAAATCGGAGGGGGAGAAGAATAGAGAGAAAGAAGGAAAGAAGAACAATAAAAAAAGAGAAGAAAAAACAGAGAAGAAAAATCGGAAGTCGAAGAAAAAAAAGGAGAGAAGAAGAAGAAAGGAAAATAAGAAAGAGAAATGGGGAGTGGTTGCGGCAAGAAGGAGAAAAGGAAACAAATATGATGTGCAGGGTAATTTAGACATTTTGATAAAAAAATTACTAAAAAAGGAAATGAGAACATTAGTTGTGGACGGACCAAAAAAGAAAGTGGGAACTTTAAATTTGGATGGAGGGAGTACAATTTTGAAAGTTCTCAATACGATAAATCCAATAAAGTCATTTTTATGTTAAAATACATTACGATTTTTATTTTATTGAAATTCAAAGTTTGTCCAGTTTGACTCGAAAAAGTCAAAGTGGACAAATACATTGGGACAAAGGGAGTATATAACTAAATTATCAAGCACACAATAAGTCATTTATTGTTCCGATCCGAAATATCTCGATCTTGTCTTATAATGTTTCATCTTTTTTAGATAACAAATTTTTATCTTGAACGTGTCCGAACCGTTTTAAAATGGGACATAACCGAGTCATGTTGTCCCGTTTGTATGTATATGTCGATTTGTGTGTGTATATATAATTTTTATATCTAATTTCAAACAATGACAAAATAAAACAACTTGAATATATTCCATTTTGTCTGGATCTCAAATACTAAGGAAGGGATAAAATTGTAGCCCGAGCCGTTGGATAAGAACGAGACAAGAGCAGTATAATGTACTCCCTCCGTCGCATTTTATAACGCCTGTTTCGATTTACGATGTTTGACTGAAATTATTTTCAAATCATTTTATATGACAAATGATATACAGTTAAAAAATAAAAATTACATATTAAAATACTACATCAAAAGATCTACAAAAGTAATAGTGACAATAGTACTTTATTTTATCAAATTGCTTACAAAAATTGAGAAATAAAGTGAATGAAGTTTGACCCTGTAAATAGTGAACATGTTTAATATTTTGGGACGGAGGGAGTTAGTGTTTCTTTGTGCTTATAAGCTGGTCAAAACAGTTTATAAACTGTTTTTAACTTATAAATCAGTAGATGATATGTGTTTTTCTGTGCTTATAAGTTGCTTATAAGTCAGCAAAATAAGTAGAACTTACTTATTTTTAAACTAATTTTTTCATTTCTCTATTTTGACCAAATTACTTACAAAGCTATCTCTTACCTATTATGAATATTCCGAAATGACTCATATATAGTTTAAGTCTTTTTATCTACATGAAAGAACTTTTAACTTATAAATTTCTTATAAAAAATCTATTTATAAGTAATGTGTCAATAAATACCTGCACAGAAAAATATCCACAATATAAAACTCGAACCGTCGCGACCCATGGCTACCTTTACGTTGTGCACACTTTGGGAAGAAGGAAGTATTTTTTATAGTTTCTAGTGTCATGCACCCATAAAAAACGAGATGCAAACCAAGGCAAAAATAGGGACACGCAGATAAGCTTTTCAAACATCATCTTAAAAGAGATGAGCAATACTAGTGGCACATCAAAAGTGTACCCCAAATATACACTACCTCCTTCTCTACCACCCATTTTTATTTGATTTTTTTTAATTTAGTTTTTTTGAATTTCTTGCTTTTTCATGTAGACAAGGAGGGGTGAGAAATATATGGATAAAACTTTGGTGTAGCATTTTTCTAAAAAAACATAGAATATATAAACTAGTGAAGATGATGGAAGCAGTCATTGTAGCCCAGAAAGGAGTGAGGCGAAGAGGAGAGAATGATGGGAGTTTATTGAAAGGGCAGTTGCCTTTCTCTCTCCTCTGCCAATGATCTCAATCTGCATTCGCCCCTTTTCCGAACAGCCCTTTCTTCTCTCTTTCTTTTTTCCTTTCTTTTTTTCCATAGAAACACAAGAAAACTTGAAGAAGGGAAATAGCAGAAGCAATAAGCATGCAACCAGCGCTCTGGGAAATACTACTACAGAGTAACTCGTATTATATACTGTACCTTAAACAAAACCCAATTGTTAGATCTACGTTGATGATGAAGAGGAGGCTGTGATGATACTCTTTCTGTGTTTTCCTCTTTCTGGGCTACTAAAATTGAGGGATTTTGTTTGATCCGATCCGTATCTTGGCGGGGCAACCCGGAAATGGACCCGGTTCTTGCAGCCATGACGGTTTGGGCTCTTCGATTCCCTCTGGAAACACAGATCTGAGCCTCTAGGAAGATTATTCGCTCCCCTTTGTTCTTTCATAGTTCCTATTACACATTGGGTCTTAAACCCTAAGCTCAATCTGTTTGATTCTGTCAATTTTCTACACAGCCGTGTGTCATACTGTCATCATGTCTGTTTTATTTGATTTTTTTGTTTTCTCCCTCTCAGTTAAATAAAAAAAATCCCATTTTTAAAGAAGAAATTTAAAAAGTCAAATATGTCTGGTTTATTTCTCATTAAATCTGGAGGGAAGGAGTGTGTCTTTTGTTCATTTCAGTCGAAAATGTTTTATGGTGGGGTGTGGGAATTCTTTTTATTTTTCTAATTTTGATGAAATTATATATTTTTTTTAGAAAAATTGAAATGTTCTTGGGAAGGCTGCCGCTGGAGATGCATTATTGTCTCATTCTCTCATGGTGTATGTCTGTTTTTTCTTCTGCCTCTTTTTGAAACTAAAACAGTAGAAATTTAGTTGTAATAAGATAATTCTATTACTATTGTTTTTGGGGAATTTACCTAAATAGTACTAAAACATAAATACTTTCTCAATGTAATACATTATATTTTTATTTCCAGTATCACGGGTCATTGTTCAAGCTAAATATCTATCATCACTGGACATTATTCCCGCCACTAGACATTGTTTTTGGGGAATTTACCTAGATAGTACTCCGTACTAAAACATAGTGACTTTCACTTGTTCTTGTTGCTTATCCCTCATTTTCTACGCCTAAAACATCAGAATTGTAGTTCAAAGAATGGATTTTTTGTTATTACTGTTACCCAGTAGAGGCTGTGATGAAACTTGGCTAGTCATGTTCGGGCATTTTGTGGAACTAATCCGTATCTTGGCATGGCAATATGTGATTAAAGAGTAATTGCAGTCATGGGGGGATTGTTTTTCTCATTGTTGTAGTTCTAACTTTTGAGCACCATAAGAAAAGAGCCCTAGGAGGTCAGAACTGAATCAAATAAGAAATAGAGGTGTATCTTTTTGATTTTGCTGAGGAAAGGGAGAGATATAGGAGTTTCTTGAAAGGGCAGTTGCATCTCTCTCTTCTGCCACGTCTTCTCTAGTTCCACCCTAATAGTCAAACAACCCTTTCATGACAAACAGTTTTCTTCCCATTCTTGTAAATCTTTCCCTTACCCTATGCTTGGTTTAATGAATTTGAGAGGGAAAAAGAAAAGAAAATGAGAGGAAAATGATTTTTATGTTTGGTTAATGAGGAAAAGAAAATAAAAGTCGGAGGAAAAGAAAACGAGGAGACAAAATGTACTAAGAGGAAAAAAAATCAAATTCCTCTCATTCTGGTGAGGAAAATGAGAGAATCATTTTCTTTTCTTTTCTTGCCAAATTATTTGGAGGGATTTACTTAAATAGCACTAAAACATAATGACTTTCTCTAAATAACATCACATGTGTTTTTTTCCAATGTAGCACTTTTCGTCATTATCCATTATTCATTATTCAAGTAGATGTTTGCCATTACTGGACATTATGGACATTATTAAGTGCTATTTAGGGAAAAAAGAGTTTAAGTGCTATTTAGGGAAATGACTTACTTTTTAGTGTTATTTAGTGCAAATATTTCAACTATTTGAGCCAAACATAGTATTAAAATAAAAGATCCACAGTTTTGTAGCCTAGAAAGGACTGAGGCTGAAGAGGGATGGGAGTTTCTTGAAAGGGGCAGTTGCCTCCCTCTAATCTGCCCATGATCTCTACATTTTAAAACGGCCCTTTCTGTCTTTCTTCATCAGAAGAAAGGAACTTGAGAAAAAAAGAAAGAACTTACACTATGTTTTGTTCAAAGAATTTAGAAGGAGAAAGAAAAGAGAAAAGAGAACAGCCCTAGAAAAGAGAATTGGAAAAAGAGGCTGCAAAAGAACTTACACTATGTTTTGATGTTTGGTTAGAAAGGAAAAGAAAAGAGATTTGGAAGGAAAAGAAAGGGTAAACAGAACTGCAAAGGAGGCTATGATGATGCTTGGTTTATTTTTTTAGGCATTTTATGGAACCAATCTGTATCTTGGCGTGGCAATTTGGTATTAATCAGTAATTGCAGTCATGGCGGGTTGTTCTTCTAATTGTCGTAGTTCTGAGCCTCATAAGAGAACAACCCTAGAGGTGGGTTTGGGGTTTCCATATGGTATCCTTCCCGAAAGTTCTACAAAACAAAACAAGATGTGACAACGACAACAACATTAACCGAGTGCCTCAAAGGCTCCCGCCCATTGCAGGGTAGGGGGGGTCGGATGTACGCAGCCTGACCCTTATGTCAAAACATAGAGCGGCTGTTTCCAGATGACCCATGATGAGTATCGAAAGTTGCATTGACTAACCGTCACTCTACTATTAAAAAAAGCACAAATAGTTTTGGGGAGTGGGGATGCCATGTCATTAGTGCCACCACCATCTGCATGCCATTGTTGGTGATTATAATTAATCGTGCTGAGCATTGTCATTTTCATTTCTTAAATTCTTGATAGTTAATAACTTACAACTACAAAAACAAAACATTTTCTACTCCTCACTTCATAGAATGTAAGAAGCAACTGAAGTAGGACTTGCCATTATGGTATAGTCTAGTATTTACTCAAAGCTAAAACATTATCTTCGGTAATGACTCACCTCCATTTGCAATCGACACTCGACATTCTGAGTTAATAACTTGTGCATTTTGTCTTGACATCTCCTTAACTAATAACTTGCACAGTTGTTTTTTGGAATTGGTTTGATGCTTTATGGAAACCATACATGTTCTATCATTTGCTTAAAAACCTCAGTTTTATGTTCTAACTGGTAAGTCTGTTAGAAAATGGGGAGCTGATTGCTTAGTAGGATGTGGCTACCAGCTTAATAGATTTTGTAGTGCCAGCAGCCTTGGACTTTAGTGAACAACGACTTTAGGGGTTTTTAGTAATTTATATTTTATTTGAATTTCTTTTCTTACTCCAAAGTCTAGACATATATCTAAAAGATTTTGTAGGTATTTTATGGTTCCTTCTCTCTCTAGAATGATCAAGTTACATGTTCCGCGAGCTTTGTGACAACTATGAGTGTCAACCTTCAGCTGTGCAGCGTGTACCTTCACTAAGCTCACGGGTGAACAGTTTTAGTAGTTTGACAATTTTATGGCGTATATTTTCAGTTCCTTATTTGAAAAATAGAAGCAACAAACTAATTTTGGCTCTATTGTTTTGCAGTGCCATTTTCATTGACCAACCTTTTAAAATGGAGTGCTTCCTTTTTTTCCCCTGAGATTGTATAAACACAAATATATACACTGTATGTGTGTAGGGGCTGTGATGATATCAGGCTACCAAGTTATGAACGACTACTTATTTTGTTCTACCATTATTAGAATATGAAAACCTTTTCTAGGCCTACAACCATAACCTTGAGCTTTTGGTTGAGTTGGTTCCTTCTTCCTTGGCACCCATAAAAATCACTTTCAAAATTGAGTTGAGCAATCAACTAAAACTGCTAGCCGCTCGGCTTTATAGGAACTTTACTCAAAAATAGAAGTTGCCATTTTGTATTTGATTTTGTAACTAAAACAGCAGAACTCAGTTGAAACAATGGATTGTTGCGACTCTAACAAGGCTGTGATGATACTGGTTGTACTGATTTGCAGCATTTTGAGGACACCATCCATACTATGGCGAGGCAATTCCAAATTACCAGAATATTGCAGCCATGGCTATGGGAGTATGGGGGCTTCTCATTTGCGCGTGGAAACACTGTTCTGAGCCTCAACAAGAGAACTTTTTATATATATGGAAAGTAGGAACTGTGAAGAGGAAGGAGATGGGAGTTTCTTGAAAGGGCAGTTGCCTCTCTCCTCTGCCACGATGTTTCTATTTCCATCTGAATAAATGAAACAGCCCTTTCACTTTTCTTTCCGCCCTTTCACCTTTCTTTCCTCAAGAGAGGAAGACAAACAAATACTCTCTCCGTCCTAAAAGAAGGCAAGTCAGATTTAGCTTTTTATTCTCCGTTAACTCAATAAAGCTCAAGCTTTTGCAAGTTATGAATGATTACTTATATGGTTTTACCCATAAAATTTACTCTCGAAAAATGGTCTGGGGCAATTAACTTGAGCTGGTAGCCATTTGGCTTTACAATCATTTTTCTCAAAGGTTGAGGAGGTATGCTTTTTCTATTATTTTCTGAAATAAGACAGCAGGTTTGTAGTTGAGACATTGTTATTATTGTGATTATGATGAGGTTGTGATGATACTTGGCTACTAATTTAGGGCATTTGAGGCTACTAACCAAACAGACCCTAAGTTGCTAATGTCATTGTATGACATTAGAACTTACGGCTAGGTTCCATGGCCACTCCTTTTGAGTGGCCACAGAAGCCATTGCCCCTCTACGGTGTTCCGTTTTTAAAATTGATGGTTCCTACCCTCTAACCCCAATTAAACCCCCCACTCACTCTCCATCCCAACCCACCTCCCACCCACGTCAATTGCACCCAAGTTTAGTTGACTTTGAAGTCAAACATTTTGACATCAAAGTCAACCAAACTTGCCAGGTGCAATTGACGTGGGTGGGGATGAGTTGGGGTTGGGACTGGGTGGAGGGTTTACCTGGGGTTAGGGGGTAGTAATCATCATTTTAAGAACGGAGCCACGTAGAGGGGCATGGAACCTAGACGTAGAACTTAATGTCAAAAGAATAATACTGTAATGTTGTTGTTTAAAATAGTGTAATCGTTTAATGATTCTCTTATTAGTTCATTCTTTAGCAAAAAATCATTTCACATCAATAATTTGTGAAAAAAAATTAATACCGTTAACTATGTGTTTTTACAAGTACACTACTTTGTATTTCAGTCTCGTGCGGTGGTGCGGGTAATTTTTTGTTTGATAACATTTTCATTAATTTGTCATTCTCTTTGATTCGTATTATGGTGAACTTTCTAAATAGGAGTAAAATACAAAGAAAACACTAAAATAAGAATATTATTCTTTTTGTGGTTTAAATGAGAGCATAAATGTTTTTGTGACACATATGAGTATGTTTGTTGAATATGACACTCTCACTAAAAGTGATTGAAAACGTTAGAAAAAGATTGAAAAGATAAAAATATTATACTCTCCCGTCCTCCATAGATCTTCACATCAATATTTTTACCTTTTTAGTTTTTTTGGTTAATGTAATGTTTAAAAGAATTAAGAAAATATATATTTAATGATATGTTGACTTATTTATGTAATTTAACTTTTTTTATTATCTACTTTTTAATTTAAGTTTTTTAGTTTAATTAATTTTAGTGTTAAACATAATATTAAAAAATGAAAGAAAAAAGGGAAGGAAAGGGAAATAAAAGAAAAAATTGAAACTTAGGAAGAGGAAATCCATATCCCTAAGCCTTATTGGGGCAGAGGTTATTTTTCATGAAAGAACACAATATAAACCTGAACACTATGTTTGGTTAAAAGAATTTCAAAGGGAAAAGAAATTTTTTTTCTTGTTTGGTTAGAGAGCAAATTGAAAAGAAAAGTGAAAGGAAAAGAAAATGAGAAGACAAAATGTACTAAGAGGGGGGAAAACCAAATTCCTCCCATTATTATTTGGAATATGAGAGAAAATCATTTTCTTTTCTTTTACTTCCAAAATCCTTGAACCAAAAATAGTGGAAAAGATGCTCGAAGAAGTGCTTGGAGGCTGTAGCCCAGTGAGGCAGGGGAGTGATAATGGATGGGAGTTTCTTGAAGGGGCAGTTGCCTCTCTCTCTCTCTCTCTCCCAATGATCTCTGCATGGGGTTCTTCCTTTTTTTAAAGAACCATACAGCAATCTGCATTCTATGGAGTTCTTCGTATTACATAACATACCTCAAATTAAATCCAACCATTAGATTGATGATGAAGCAGAGGGCTGTGATGATGCACTTTTTCTGTGTTTCCTCTTTCTGGGCTACTAAATTTGAGGTATTTGTTTGACCCAATCCGTATCTTGGCGGGGCAACCCGGAAAAAGGCCCGGTTCTTGCAGCCATGGCGGTTTCGGTACTCCGACTCTCTCTGGAAGCACAGATCTGAGCCTTGAAGACTATTCATTCGTAATCCGTCCTTCAAAAAAGGTCTCTTTGTTCTTTTGTAGTTCTATTACACTATGGCTACACATGTTTGATTCTGTCCATTTTCTTTTCATCCCACTGTTATCATGTCTATTGTTTTTTTTGTAATTTCTTCCCGTCTGGATTTACCTTTTTTTTAAATGTCAAATAAATCTTTTAAAATGTAATGTACATAGACAATTCATCATGTTTTTTTAAATAAATTGAGGAAGTGGAAAATTAAATATGGATAAACGAAAACAAGGAGGGATAACTAAATCAGGAGGGAGTATTTTTTTGTTCATCTCTGCTGAAAATCTTTTGCAGTGGAGGGGGAGGATTATGTATATATTCCTAATTTTGATGAATTTTTTTATTGAAATGTTTTGGCTTGGTTCGTAGGAAGGTTGCTGGTGGCAGAATGGTATATTTCTGTTTTTTTTCTGCCACCTTTTGGAACTAAAGTAGTAAATCTTTTTCTGTAACAAGTACTATAATTTTTGTTGTTTTTATTGTTGATCCCCCGTGTTATGACCTCCATTTGTTTGTTTGGCCTTGTTTTAACATTTTGGATAATTTTTTAACGATGTTTAGAGGGTGTTTGTGAGTCGGTGAGTTCTTGAAAAATTAGAAGTACTAAATTAGAAGCAGAAAGTAATTACTCCGAGCTTTGTGTGAAAAACACTTTTATAGAACAATTTCAATTTCTACAGTCATAATCCATAATCTAAAGCTGATTCGCAAACAATTTGAGTTGTGTTTGTGTGAAGTAGAAACTCAAAAGCTATTTTCATACACACTCCCAAACACTTCCTTATTAACTTTGATAATGCTAAAGTTAAACAATTTTATTAGATAGCCTTTTCTAAACGCTAAATCTTAGTGTTGAAGAATTGAAGCTGTTGTAACGTGAACCCTTAAGCTCCTGAATGTGTCCCTTCTGGACTCTACTAATTTTAGGGTATTTGGAGGGATCTGATCAGCATATGGCAGGGCAATCTGGAATGACCCAGTTATTGCAGCCACAGCAGCTCAAGTGTCCCGTTGTGCATTATGAGGCTTTCTGTGAAATCTCAAAGAGAAATGAGTTTCAAGGGTGGTTGCTCCCTCTCTTTGGTTTTCTATTTAGCCAATGATTATCCTAAAGAACTTCGATTAAGAAATTCAAGTACTCAACAACCCTTGAGGATGATATGAATATGATGATGATGGTGATGGATGATATGATATGATGATGATGCAACAACAAAACCTAGTATAATCCCTAACTCTCTTGGGGTACTGGCAAAACATTAAGGTGTATACATCTTTACCATTTAAAAACAAAGAGATTGTTTCTTGAATAACATTTTGATTTAGTCAAACATTACAACCTTGTTCTCAAATAAAATTCACTTTTACTATTTATATGGTCAAATTCTATCTTATTTCCTAATTTGCTTTTATCATTTCTTACAATAAAATAGTGACTTGTTAATAGATCTTTTGATATAATGCAAATAAATGAATCTTTTTCTTTGTTTTGCATCAATATTTAAATAAATTGAATTGAAAGTAACAACATTATAACATTATAAATTGAAAACTGAAGTTTATTTAGGGATAGGGGAAATTTTTTTTTTGAAGTAAAGACATTGTTGAACATAGCATGCATAATTTACTAGTGGTTACTTGCGACCAAATGTGGTCAATTGAAACAAGGCTTGTTTTTGTTTGATAAAAATTGTTGAATTGCATTTGAAATTATAAAAATGATATGTGGAATCAATTGTAAATTCATAATATATTTTTAAATTATAATGAATTAGATTAAGGGATGTTTTAGCAATTTTGTCAAGCTCCTTGTATTCAAATAACCCATTATACGGGATATATTTTACAAATAGCTTGAAGTGTCATCTACCTAAAAAGCTAACAGAAGTCTTTTATCCAAAAAGCTAATGCAAATAGCGAACTTTGAATTTGTTGGCATAAGGGCCTCTTTTTCTAAGCCTAGAACAACAGAATTGCAGTTGAAGCAATGAGATATTGTTATTATTGTGACCCAGAGGAGGTTGTGTTGATACTTGGCTAGTTATGTTAGGACATTTTCTGCTATTAAACAGTAATTGCACTCATGGCATATTGTTCTTCTCATTGTCTTAGGTTGAGCCTCATAAGAAAATAGCACCAGGAGGCCAGAACCAAATGAAAGAAGAAACAGAGGTGGGGGCATGCTATTCTGCTAAGGGAGGGAGAGATATGGGAGTTTCTTGAAAGGGTAGTTGCCTGTCTCTCTCTCTCTCACTCTCTCCTCTGCTATGTTTTGTCTATTTCCATCTGAATTGCCAAACAGCCCTTTCATCTGAATTGCCAAACAAAAACTCCCTTGTTATGGTATCTCTCCATTTACCAAATATTAATTATTTTGGAGTTTATTTCATTTCTGGAGTGAAAAAAGAACACAGTAAATTGAAGATGATATGATGTGTGTGGTGGAAAATGAAAGGAAGTGGGTGTGCATGTGAATGCGGGAAAGTGAAAAGTAATAAGAAAAAAAGATGAAAGACTTAACTCATATGCTGAATACGCTCAACAAAGCTCAAGCTTTTACTAGTTATGAATGATCACTTATTCAATTATACCTATTAAATTATTTTGAAAGTGGTTTATAGCAACTAGCTAAATTTGCTAGCTGTTTGCTTTTCCATGTTTTTGTTTACTAAAAACTAGCTGGAGCTTTGAATTTGTTTCTGAAACTAGAACATCAAAATTGCTGTTGAGACAATGGATTGTTGTTATTGTGACTAATGAGGCTGTGATGATACTGGGCTCTACTGCTCATTTGGGGCATTATGAGGATGCAGTCCATATCATGGCGGGGCAATTTGGAATGACTCTGTTATTGCAGCCATGGTAGGTTTGGTTTCTCATTGCCTTGTAGATACATCGTTCTATGCCTCAACAAGAGGGCTTTCTTTGAAACATGTGTCAAAACTCCGTGTGTTGGACCTAAAGTGCTCCCTTCGTAAAATTGATGGTTCCTATCCTCTAACCCCCTCGCTAAACCCCTCACCCACAGCTTGACCTGAACCCACCCCGCAATTCTTTTAATTTCATCTCCCAAATTTATTTGACTTTGGGGTCAAATATGTTGACCCAAAAGTCACTATTTGTAATAACAAACTGTTTTCTTCCCATTCTTGTACATCTTTCCTTCGGCTTTGCAGGAATTTTACTTTGATTTTGTTACTAAAAGAGCAGAGCTCAGTTGAAACAATGGATTGTTATTGTTGTGACTCTAATGAGGCTGTGATGAACTGATGATGCTAGTTCTACTAATTTGCGGCATTTTATGGACACTTCTGTGTCATGGCGGGGCAATTCCAAATAACTAGGTTATAGCAGCCATGGCTACTGGGGCTTCTCATTGCTGAGTGGAGATGTAGTTCTGAGCCTAAACAAGAGAACTATTTATATACTCCGTTTATGGAAAGTAAGAACTGTGAAAAAGGAGATGAGAGTTTCTTGGAAGGGCAGTTGCCTCTCTCTTTTGCAATGATGTTTCAATTTCCATCCGAATAGTGAAACAACCCTTTCACCTTTCTTTCCTCTAAAAAAGGAAGACAAACAAATACTCTCTCCGTTCTATAAGCTTTTACAAGTTAAGACAACAACAACAACAACCCAGTTAGATCCCACGAAAGTAGAGTCTGGGGAGGGTGTGTGTACGCAGACCTTGCCCCTACTCAAGAGAAGGGAGGTTGTTTCCAAGAGACCCCCAGCTTAACTTTTTCAAGTTAAGAATAATCACTTGTATGGTTTTCCCATAAGAATTACCATCAAAATGTCTGGAACAGTTAACTAGAACTGTGTAGCCATTTGGCTTTACAAACATTTTACTCAATAGTTGAGGTATGCTTTTTCTATTAGTGTGTGAAATCAAAACAGAAGATTTTCAGTTGAAACATTGTTATTGTTGTGATTCTTATGAGGCTGTGATGATACTGACTATGGAGTACTAATTTTTGGCATTTGAGGAGTATTTTGTATCTTGGCGTGGCAGTTCGAAATGAATCGGTCATTGCAGCCATGGCAGATGTGGCTTCTCATTGCCTTGTGGAAACATTGTTCTGAGCCTCAACAAGTGAGATTTCATTGAGTCTTGTATCAAAGAATAGTGAATGAAGAATGAGGCTCCTGAGGTAAGTAAGGGGTTCCTCATTTGGGTGGTTTCCCTCACTTTACCAGCCAATGATTTCCTTCCCTTTGGAAGAAATAGTAGACCTTAAGAGATAATAGGATAGGTATTTATATTAATTTATTATTACCCACTACAATATGCTTAAATTTTCTACTTACATTTCCTCCGCAAGTTTTCAAATGCTCGTACATCAAAAAGTAAATTTTCTTAATGATCATTAAATGTTGAATCCAAGTACAAAAGGTATATCACTTAAATTGTTCTTTTGATATCTTTGTTGCATGGCCTTTGCACTTGGTCATTGGATGCCTTTGGACACGCCTAATTGTAGGATAATACCAACTTGGATTTTCCAAGAGGTGGATCACTCCAGACCACCAACCTCGTTCTTCACCTGGAAGAAGCAAGTGGTGCATTTTTAATTTTTTGCACACTGTAGTTTAATATGTGGTGTTCTTTGCCCTTCATTTGAAAGAAAATAGACTTATCCAAGTGAATCAAAAGCTTTTATTGAAGCCATTTTGAACCGAATAAGCTTTTAATTTATGTACAGGATTCTTTATCCTAGTTAAGTGTTTACCTGATTTATGTTTGACACCAATCTGTGGTACTTGAGCCAGGGGTCTCTTGGAAACAGCCTCCCTACTGCTGTGGGATTCAACTCTACTTGTTGAACTTATTTTCACAAATGGTTGAGATTGTTACTTAAGCAGTTTACCCATATTTTACAAGAATTTCATTTAGAAAGTTTTTTTTTTTTTTTGAAAATTGTAACAGCTACTATCTGCTAACTGCTTTGCCAAACAGGTCATTTTTTATTATTTACAGTATGTCCACTATAACCACAGGTGTTCAAATTAGATTATGTACATTTGGGTACATTATTATTGCCTGAACAATTATGAATATGACAGAATTTTAGGGTACGTGCAATTTGTGATAAATAGTGTGACATTGAATTTCTATATTATACATCTAGATGTACGGTGTTTATTGTACATCCAACCTATACACATTTACAAGTAAAAAAACCTCTTTTGCACAATTATTTGTTTGCATTTAGTTGGAGCACGCACGTAATGAAATTGATGTATGCATATTTCATAATGAAAAATGCTAGGCGTAACCCATTTTTTGTACCACCTTTTTACATACATTCACAAACATCTGGCTCTTTTCGGGATTTGTGGGAAGAGTGATGTCAAAATTGGGTACCCCAAGCTTAATTCTTTTATAATTATCATTTTGTCAATAATAATTTAAATCATGAAAATGCAAACCCATTTTTTTTTACATACAGAGTGTGCACATTATGAAGTCAGTATACAATTATGCATACATTTTCAAGTTATATAGTGTTAATTGGACCTAAATTTATGAAAGCAGGTACATCCGGATGGCGGGTGCACGATATAATTTGTCTATGTAACATTGCAGTTGTGAAAGAGCGCGACTACATGAGGGAACATGACTGTTCGGGAAAGGTGCCAGTAAATCTGATTTGGTTGGCCTCTTCCTTCACCTTATGCTCTTCCCTTTTCTTTTCACTTTCCAATTGGGCTCTTGCTTCTCTTGATATGCCTTCTATTCCTTCTATCTCTTCTTCGTAACGCCTCAAAGCTCTTGCCATCTTCTCTTTCAGTTCAGCCTGAAATGTCAAGGCATTTCAAAATGTTGTTTATATGGCTCATTTCATTTGGTCAATCTATTGAAATGCAACAATTATTGGATTTTTTATAATCTATTGATTCTATTCATTTTTAATGCAGCGTTTCTTGTTTTTCGTTCTGACTTTTGACTTGTGCGTTTTTTAGATGAAAGGCTGGAGTTGACCGAGATATAGCTTGAAGATATAGTTTAGATGGGAAAGAAGAGGTGTGAAAGGGAGTATTGCTCGGACTAGTCTTCGGCCAATGATGACGACAAGCAACCGGGCGTTGCATGGAGCCTTTGCATGTATTATTCCTTATCTCTTAGACTAAGATAATAGTTCAACTTAAGATTCTCCTAGACCAAAAAAATCTAATCTAGACAGTAATTGACAAACAATTGACCATCATGACTTCTGTGGTATACATCAAGAGTTGGATGAATCTAGACATAGCGTATGTCCACATTCGTTCAATTTTTGATGCATCTCAAAAGTCTCGAGGATGAGGAAGTGAAAAACAAACCTCAATCTTTTCATACTTGAGCTCTGCTTTGTGCTTGTGCTCGTTTTCCCATGTTGCAACTATTTCTTCCTGCTTCTCATACCTGCAATTCTTTCCCATCCCATTTGAAAAACACATGAGATCAAAATTGCACTCCACTTTGAGAGGCACACTCATGATTTATGACACCGAAAACGGTCTGATTGAGACTTATGTACCTCTGTTTAATCTTGTCCAATTGACGTTGTTCCCATTCGTCTGCCCTTGGATCTTGGAACACGGGGGGCATCATAGGGTCCGGAGCGGTTCGACGGGACCTTGTAAATTACCCATCCAATTCACACATTATTGAAATCACTAAAATTGGCTTAGCAATTGCTAGCATATTATTATTATTATGAGGTTAGACAAGAGTCCCAAACTTTAAATAAATTGTTATTATGCATTAATTACCTCATTTTAATTCACCAGCCAGTGAGGGCAATTCTGGTATATTGGTTGGTGGGTAACAGTTTGAGGAAAACTGGTGATGATATTATAAAGGAGGAGACAAGAGAAGATGTCTTTGCTTACCTCAAAGTTATTCTTTTCTTTTTCTTTGTATGCACAACTTTCTAATATTCTTTAGAAAGACTGATAGTATTGTTGGATCTCTTGGAACATGTTTTTTATTATCATTAAGTTTCTTCTCAAATTCCTATTTTGGCTGTCTCAAAATTTTCTTTCACTTTTAAGACCATGTGGTTGAGTGGTTCTAATCATTTCTTTCCTCTACATGAGTTTGGAATTATACATTATGTTTTTCCACTTTATTAAAATCATGTCAAGTCATATCCAGAAGAGAATTACGAGACGGAGGGAGTATTTAGTATAGTAGCGTTTCTATAGTTTGAGGTTTTTCAAATTTAATTCACACTATAATAAAATGATTTAAAATGCTAGCGTAACTTCCAAACAAGACCATAAGCTTCATACTTCATTTATATACTCTATTAATGTACATACTATAAATGGGCTCGGACTATGGATATATGTGCCTACGATTGTGTAGTTAGATAATAGACTCACATAATGAAAGTGGTTTTTGACCCTCAAATAATCTTAAGGTTCACTATTTACATGGTCAAAAAATGAAATGAGAAAAAAATAAAAATGAATAGTTCTTTTAAAAGGTAGTTGGAATTGATTTGAAAGAGAAATATAAAGATAACTATTATAAAAAAAGAAAATAAAATTTATTTTGTGACAGCCCAAAAATGGAAGTGTATTTTTTTTGGTAGAGGGAGTATATAGATTATTTTTATTTTAGATTAAATTTAATGAAATTGAGTTTTAAAAATGTCATTAAGTCTGGTAGCTCGCATAAGAAGGTAATAGAATTCTTGGAAGAGGTAGGGACGGATTAAGAGGAGTTGTAGAGAGTTACACCATGTGATGACACCATCTTTTACACCATCGCACTTGGGGTATGGTGTTCCGATCAAAAAATTGATTATTCCTACCCATTCTAATGACCCCACTAAAAATATTTCCCGTGTTTTCCCGCTCCCACACACCTAGCACATGCTCCCCTGCCCCACCCTGAATTGCATTAATTCAATTTAATTGCCCCTAATTTGGCAATCCGAGCCGGGTGGCCATTGGGGCATGGGCGGGGGTTAGCGAAAGCGGGAAAACATGGGAGATATGTTTAAGGGGGTGGTTAGGAGGGGTATGAACAATCATTTTTTTGATCGGAGCACTGTAGATACCCAAGTGTGATGGTATCACCATGTGATGGTGTAACTCTATATCTCCTCAAATTTTAATTGTCCACAAGGTTTTATTGTAGAGTGCTTCTTTTATGCACCTTGGATGCTTATCATTTTTGTGGACCTTCCGTCATTAATTATTTTTATTTTTTATTGAAAAAATAGATTCTTATCTAAGCAGTAAGAAAATTCTTATTTTGTTTGTCTGTAGGTTCATGATGGACCTTAGGTCCATCATAAAATTTGTCTTTATAGTATGAAATTATTCATAATTATTTTCTTTAGACATAAATTTAAAAAAATAATATTCTAATAATTATAATATTAGGGGAAGACATCAAAAGTAACTACTCCCTCCGTTCCAAATTATAATGTCTGTTTACTATTCATAGGGTCAAACTTCATTCACTTTCTTTCTCTATTTTCATTAGTAATTTGATAAAATAAAATATTATTGTCACTACTAGTTTTGTAGATCTTTTGATGTAGTTTTTTAATATGTAATTTTTATTTTTTAATTCTATATCATTTGTCATATAAAATGATTTGAAAATAATTTTAGTCAAACATCGTAAACCGAAACAAGCGTTATAAAATGGGACGGAGGTAGTAATATTTTATACCCAACCGTTCCAAAATGAAATTTCCTATTTGAACGTTGTGCAAAATAAACAACTTTTTTTAAAAAAACTTGAAATCCTATGATTAAGAAGGAAATAAATTGCAAAAATAATAAATCACACATTTTTATTTTTACAAACTGTTGTATATTTGCAAAAATAATGAAATCCTATTATCTCTTCCAATGAAGAATTTTATATACAATGTTTAAGTATATAAATTTCATTTTTAATTCTATATGAATTTCTAAATTGATTGAAATTTAACTTTTTTTAAAAAATGTTTTGAAAAGGGGGAAAGTTGCAGAGAAAAATAGAGTTTTTGTGAAGGGTAATGAATGTCATCAAGCAGTAGCAGCAGATGCCTAAGACTTCTGGAGAAATGCAAAGATCTGAAGGAACTGAAACAAGCCCATGGCCAGGTCATCACCTCTGGTCTTTCCCACAACACATTTGCCCACAGCAGGCTCCTAGCTTTCTTCTCTTCTCCCCACAATCTGGGAACAAGAAGAAGAAGAACAGGAAGCATTTCCTATGCTTGGGAAATCTTTGAAAAAATTCAAGAACCCACAGTGTGTATTGTCAATACAATGATCAAAGCTTTCTTTCTCAGCAATGAGCTGACCAGAACCCTGGGGATGTACAAACACATGTTGCAGATTGGGATGTGTCCGGATAACTACACGTTCCCCTATCTGTTAAAGGCTTGTTCTGACATGGAAAGTTACAGTCTTGGGAGTTCAATTCATGGGCAATGCTTGAAATTCGGATTCTTGGCCGATACCTATGTTGGGAACAGTTTGATTTCCATGTACTCTGAGCTTGGAGTCATGAAAGATGCACGATACGTGTTCGACGAAATGCCTAGCCATTGTGTGGTGGCTTGGACGGTTCTGATCTCTGGGTATTCGAGAACGGGTGATGTTTTTGAAGCAAGATTGGTTTTTGATGAGAGCCCAGTGAAGGATAGGGGAGTTTGGGGGTCTATGATTTCTGGGTATGTGCAGAACAATTGTTTCAAAGAAGGATTGCAGATGTTTAGGGTGATGCAGATGACTGGGGTACAGCCTGATGAGATGATTCTTGTCAGCATTCTCTCAGCTTGTGCCCAGCTGGGCTCACTTGAAAATGGCAAATGGGTCCAAAGATATTTGGAGAAGTTAGGGATGGCAATGACTGTGAGACTAGGCACTGCTCTTGTAGACATGTACGCCAAATGCGGGCGTTTGGATTTTGCCCGGGAACTGTTCGACAAAATGCCTGTTAGAGACGTCATTTGTTGGAATGCCATGATTTCCGGGTTCGCGATGAACGGGAGGGGCGAAGAAGCCATGGCACTGTTCCAAGAGATGCAAAATTCTGGGACCCGACCGGACGATATCACCCTCATTTCCTTGCTAACCGCTTGCACTACCTGTCCAGGAATGGCCAGTGAAGGTCTAAAGTTGTTGAGTGTCATGTGCAATACATATAACATCCAGCCTAAAGGGGAACATTATGCCTGTCTGATACACCTTATTAGCAAAGAGGGTTTTCTTGAAGAGGCAAGAAATCTAGTCCAGAGTGCTCATACAGAAGACGAAGAAGAAGACGGAAGTGTTGTGGCTTGGCGAGCATTGTTGAGTGGTTGTGTGGATCACGGGGAGGTTTGTTTGGCCGAGGCTGCTGCAGAGAAGGTTTTCAGGTTAGAACGACACGACGGAGCGTATGTTCTGCTGTCTAACCTTTATGCTGCAGCTGGTAAACACGACGGGGCTAAAAGGGTGAGAAAGATGATGAGGAAGAAGAAGGAGCTCATAGACAAGAAGACTCCAGGCTGCAGCTCTGTGGAGATTAATGGTGTTGTTCATGAGTTTGTTGCTGGGGAGAACTTATAATACCCACACATAGTTATGATGAAAGTCATTGAAAATGTGAATTTTCCTTGGAATGGTTGTATACTTGTATTTCACAATATGTTGATTAATTTTGAGGAAAAAAATACTTTTCATCCGATCCTAAAAGCTCTTCTTGTTTTGACTTTTCTTGGTCAAAAAATGATATTTTTTACCACAAGTTGTGAGAAAAGTATATTGAATACTCCGTATATTAATATAAATTCAATATAATTGGGGTTATCTTAAGATTTACGTAGTTTTAATATATCAAATCTGCATAACATTTCTTTAGAGTAAGTTTACTTTATGGTCAAGGAGTATTCATGTTTAACTAAAAAAAGAATAAATCACCCTATACTATATGTATACTATATGGGACTAAATCATAGAGAGTACCAAAATAGGAGTCTTATGGTTGTATTCCTAAAATAAGAATTCAAATTATGGTAATGTATATTTCGTGAATAAAAATATAAAACTTCTATTTTGATATATTTTCAATGTTTAACTCTTACTTTAGTCTTTTTTTCCTAAAAAATTCAAAACATGAAATGTTTTTAGGAGCAGAGAGAGTAATGAGTGGGTCAAAGGTAAACCTCTTTGCTCATCCATTTCAATATTTTCAAAATCAGATCAGACATCGACCTTGACGAGTGAGTGGGTAAAAGGTAAGCATCTTTGCCTTTTTGTTTTTTTTGCATTACGTGTCTTCTATGATCTTGTATTACCCTCATTCTGTTTGAGCAATGGCTAGGTTTGCCTACACACATTTTTCTCTATATCTTACTCTTGTGAGATCCAGCTCAGTTGTTGTCGATTTTTTATTTTTATTACTCTGTAGTTCGTACTATTGAATTTTAATATTGGATGCCTTATAAATACTGAAATAGTAAGACAATAATTATATTTTCAAAAAAGTAAAAGTTAAGTAATGTGTCTTTATATACAATTGAAAATGTAACATTTGAGATGTACATTTAACAATTTATTGAAATGAGAAAAAATAGAAAAAAATTACAGAGTAAATTATAGTGCATTACGGAATAAACCAAAAAAATTAATTTAAAATATGGTAAATTATTTTATTTTTAAAGATGAAAATAATTTTTTAGGTATAACTTGTTGATATTCATTTTTAGATAAAAATTAGTTGCGCTCATTTTTTTTAACCTATTTTGAAAGCTCATAAAAAATACATCACACAAACACTATTCTCTTTTTTTAAATAATTAGAAGTTTTTTTAAATGCACTCAAATTGAGAGTGTATTAGAGACTCCATCAGAAAGAAATATTATGAAAGATATTACGTAGGAAATATTGAATAGCTTTTATTTGTTTAATGAAAGTTTTGACAAGTAGTTTACGTCATTTAGATTTTAGACGTATTTTTTTTAGGAAAAAATTACACGAATACTACATGAAATTTGTGATTCTATGTTAATATTGTGAAATTAAATAATGTACACTACTGCTCCAAAGAATTGCTCAGCTTTATGCCAATACTCCGAACTGCCAACTAAGCAAAATATGTGGCATTTTTAATAATAACTGTAAATTATAAAATACTCCGTATGTGTTAGTAACTACGGAGTGATAAAAATAATATTTTAGATAAAATAAAGAATTTTGAAGTATGTATTTTATAGTCAAATTTATATTTGTTGGAAAGATCTTTAAAATAAAAGTTCTTGACTATATAATTTTTAAAATTCTCCAATATTTTATCTAAAATACTATTCATAATTTATTTGATTAAAATATAAACACTTGAATTTTCAGCTTTAACACTTTTTTTTAATTTTAACTCGACAGGAGGGAGCAATTATAACGCATTCAAGGGTTTTTTTATTTTTGTGATAATTTACCAACTTATACTTAACAATTATCTAGTCACCGTTTAAAATGTCATTTAGTTAGCTTAGTTGGCATTCTGGAGTATTGGTGTAAAATTGAGTGATTTCTTGGAGTAGTGGTGTCAATTATTTAATTTCGTAGTATTAATGTAAAATCACATATTTCTTGGAATATTCATGTGAATTTTTCCTTGTTTTTAGTAAATATTTTTTAAAAAAAATTCATAGTTTTGTTGTACTATTTTACAATTATGGTTAATACCGAGTATGATTTATGAATGTCTTTTTTAATTATAAAGCATCAATAATCATTTCTTACATTTTACACTAGTAGGATTGAACAATAACCAAAAAAATAAAATTGTCCGAGAGACCGATCGGCCCCATCAAAAATTTAAACCGAATCATCGGATCGAAATTGATTTGATAAAAAACCAAATTGAGAAATCAAATTCTAACGATACAACAAAAGAAGAAATCACGAGGAAAAAAATCTTGATATGTGATTACATGGTTGACCCCCCTCCGTACAGGAAGAAATAATTAATGATTAAGTATCTTAATAACTAATTAATTCTACCTATACGGAGAAGAGGACATTCAAACTCAATCTCATATCAAAAACTTACAACCACTAATTAGTGGTGACAATGGGTGGCATCTCCATTCTTGTATTCCGGTTTGGTTGTTTGTGATTTGGCAATGTGGGAATACTCTGCATTTTGTAAAACCACTCCCAAACCTCACACCTCTTTGAGATTTCTGAACCCGGAAGAAGTTGAAAAATATCAGAAAAATTAAAGTATTAAAAAGTCATTTAGTTAAATGATAACCCAAATAAATATGTAAGAAAAATTTCTAATTCTGGATACTAAAGAATTCATCTTTGTCTGTGTTTAAAATGATATGTTATACAGAGTGTATACTTTTCAAATCCATTGTAAATTTGAAATGTTTGGTATTTTCTCGTTCCCTATCATCACAAAACCCTCGAAAATTTGAGAAATGAGCCTCGTTTTATTGGGGGGGGGGGCAAGGACATCTCGTAGCATATTCCTCTTGTACATTTTGGATCCCATTTGAGTCAAATGAGTGACCTTCATAATTGACTAACGGATTAAATATATTTTTAGTCTCTATAAAATAGACATGTTTTGTTTTTAGTCGATGTAAAATAATTTTTTTTGTTTAAATCATCCTTACACATTTTTTTTATTTTGATAATGATTCTTATACATAATTAAGGTTTTTAATTTGGTGACACAATACATTTATTTCGCCCTCAATAGCTTAGTTTTGAATTTTTCATTACCTCAGACACAATTCTCAAGATTAAAATTGTGTCATTTGTCCAATTACGTTTCCAATTCTTGATTCTTTTATTATATTATATTCATAAGAAATTTGAAAATTTGAAATGTGCAATATGAATAAGTACACAATTTAAGGCATGAAAATTGTATCATATATAATTAGAAATGCAAGATTAAGACGTGAAGTATAAAATAAATATGTTATTTCATCTAATTAGAAGTGTTAATTGTGTTTAATGACTATTTTCAAATAAAAAATTTTATAGGGATGACTTTAACAAAAAATGTTTTACAAAGACTAAAAAACAAAAGTCACCTATTTTACAAAGCCAAAAAAGCATATTTAACCCTTAACTAACTAAAATATCCAAGACAATCAATATTTCCCATCATTCCCATTTTCCAATGAATTACTTAGGCCATGTTTTTTTGGATTGTAATTTTAGAGTTGGATATTGGAAGAAACTAAAAAGAGTTAGAAGTAGCTAGAAAAAATTTAAAAAAAAACTAGCAGTAAAAAAATGTTCGAAGAATTTAAATATTTAAAAATCACTCAATTAAAAAATCATCCAAATAAATATGTAAGGAAACTCTAATTTTAAACAAAAAAGAAATTATCACTGTCCGTGTTTAAGGTGATACGTTCTAAATTAGATATATAATGTTATTTTATATTAATCGTATATAAAATTTTCTTAAATCATTGTTGAAGAAATTGAAAGGAATTGAAAGAGATTGGAAGAAGCTATGAGTTGGAAGTTAGTTTTTCCAACTCAAAAGAACAGGACCTTAAATATGGGCACGAATAGTGTAAGTGTGTAACCCCAAAAAAACAAAATGCGTATACATGTATCACTTTTTGCCACAAACTGAATAACAATCAAGTTATAGCAAAAAAAAAGACTATGAACAATGACTAAAATTTATTAGCCTTTTTTCTAGTTGCTAGAAATTAATTTCTTGTTGCTAGAAATGGTAATTCTTGGACACCCAGAAATGCATCACATGCCCCACATTTGAACATAAATATCTTCTCATTCAACCCCTTCAGTGGCAATGTGATCATTTCTAGCAACAAAAAACATGACAACTTCTGGCCAAGATGGTTTATAGATTCTAGAATAGGAACTCCGAGTCGGAAAGTTCCAGGACTTTGTGCACGCCTATGGGGTTCACGCCAGATCGGAACGAGTTTCCTTCTATGTACCTGTGATAACAGATGACTTTCCGAGATTAGACACAGCTCCAAAGGCCAATCAAACAAAATGAAGTTGAAATTGATCGGTTATAGTCGAGACTCACAGCTCTTTCAAGAAGGGATGTTTATAAAAGGCATCAGGAATCCTTCCAGAGAACTGGTTGTGGTCCAAATACCTGATATAGAAGGAAAAGACATTATTTCTTGGTATAAACCTAAAGAGCTTAAATGTGATCTTATGAGCTTTGAGTGATGAGAATCCATGTGCAAAAAAATATATAGACAATGATGTAACATTTCAAGAGCACATGTACACACACACACACATACATACATACATACATACATATATATATATATATATATATATATATATATATATCCTTGAAAGCATTCATAAAGGCTTTTGATCAACCCAGAGGGGTAGCTCAAGTAGCAAAGAAGCTTCCTTGTGGGGAGAACCCAGGTTCGGTTACCACAGGTGACAATCCTATTCCCCTTGAGCTAGCTTCCATGCCTCCCAGGCCGAATGGGGATAGTCGGGTGGACCCGGACTGTAAAACGGATGGAGAAAGACCAGGAACCTCATGGTTCACACCAAAAAAAGGCTTTTGATCCAGAGAAGTTGATTAAAACAAGGGATATTTACACTTTTAGTCTCCCAAATGTGACATCATATGTAATCTGGGACCTGTGATCCACCTTTAATTTTTGTGTAAATTTAGTCCCTTAATTGTAACTCACTCTTTCCTGCTATTTTTGTCCATTTTTTTACCATCCCACTAATTTTGTTATATATACCACATTTCGTAATATTAGTGTGGCTCACATTTATTCTTACTATCTTTTGCTTTTTAACTTTAATATCAACCATACATTTCCATATTTCTAAATTTGTGTGTCACTTATCCTTGTTCCAAAAATAGCAGGACAGAGGGAGCAGAATAATTGAAATACATTTTGTCTCTATCGGTTAGTACTAATGTTCAACATAGAATGTTGAGAACATCCCATAAGCAATAATATTTGATAGTATAAGGGAAGATTTAATTGTGTAGAGACTATAACAATTGTTTGGCCTAAATTTAAAAACAGGAGAGGTCCTAGGTTGCATAAGAAGATTAGACTAAGAGCGTGATTTTAAGAGCACTTACAAATAGGTTAACTTGGGAATATGAGCAATGCTGGGTGGTATAATTCCAGTCATTCTGTTGTATGATAAATATCTGTTTTCATACATGCCAATAAAGTGTCAGATGCTAAAGTTTAAATATAACAGAAAAGCCTGTAATTCAAACATGCTTATAGAAGGAACTTAGTTTTTTTTCCTGATTGCATAAACACAGATGCTTACAAAATCTCCAAGTTAGTCAGATTTGCAAGTTGTGCAGGAAGACCTCCCGTAAGATAGTTATTGTTCAAATAACTGCAATAGTTGTAAAACGTAAAATTAAAGAGTGCTACCTTTTTTACCAAATGGAAAACCTCTGTGAGTGTGAGTGGGGGGGGGGGATTATATGATTTGGGATTCACAGCTTAAATAAACTTACAGGTTGCGAAGAGCAGGAAAGCATCCTTCAATGCGTATGAGTTCCCTAATTGTTCCAACCAGGCGATTGTTGCCAACATCCCTGAAATTAGAATAGATAACAGTCAACAGTCAACACCATGCAAGAACACTATGGAACTTAGAAAAAACAAAGGGAAGTTGATAACTGGATAAAAGATCTTACAAATGCCTGAGGTTTTGTAAAGTGCCCAGCTCGTGTGGGATTCGTCCAACGAAGTGGTTTTCATGAAGATGTAGATACCGGAGCTCAGGAAGATTTGCAATTTCCTTTGGGATCTCACCCTTAAAGTTGTTGAAACTCAGGTAGCTGAAGAAGTTTCACAACACAGTACAGAATAGATACGTGAAATTTGCACTAAATAGGACTAAAACATAAGTCATTTCCCAATGCAGGAATTAAACTTTTTTATTCCCTAATAGTACTCCCTCCGCCCCCCATAGATTTTTTCATTAGCCATTTTTATTTGTTCACCATAGATCTTCTCATTACCTTTTTTAATAATTAAAATATCACAACTACCCTCACTAACTTTATTTATTACACCTCACCTACCTCATTTAATACACTCCACCCATTTTCATTAAGGGTATTAAGGTAAACTTTCACCTTTTTTCAACTCTCCTTAAAAACCACAAAAAGTCAAAACGAGAAGATCTTAGGGAGACGGAGGGAGTACTTAATGTCTAGTAGGAGGAATAATGTCCAGTGATGGTGGACATTTTCTTGAATAATAACTAATAAATAATGACCAATAGTCCTACATTGGGAAATAAAAACATATGATCCTATATTGAGAAAGTCATTATGTTTTAGTCCTATTTAGGTAAGTTTCCCAATAGATACTGCATCAGCTTAGTTAAGAAGAAAAAAGCATATATAGCTTACAGATGTGTAAGTTTCTTTAGTTCACCAATCTCAGGAGGAATGATATCTTGCAGCTTATTCCACCTTAAATTCCTGGTAAATTAAGAGGGGAAAGATTAGAAGGCAACATGCATTTTAACATTTAATGTTCCATGATTTGCATTTTGGTTTTACAACATCAGTCTTGTAGTGGAGCATGACAATAGCAAACATCTCAACTCATCACCGTCTTATACGGAGTAATATTTTCCATGCATATAGAAATAATCAATGATTACGACAGTTTTCGAATTTTCATCTCATTATTTCCTTTTATCAATGGTGTGACTTGTGATAGAAAGGGAAGCGTGAGACATTGTCAATATGTTTTTTTGCATGAATTTATAATGTTAGTTGATTTTATACAATTAATTGGCACCATAAATTAAATGCTATCGACCCCAACTACTTGTGATTAAGGTGCTGAACAACTAATGATGATGGTTTGGATGGAAACAAATCACTTCAATAAACACTCCTTCCGTACTAGTGTATTTGTCCAATAATCCTTTTTGGCTCGTCTCAATATATTTGTCCACTTCCATTTATGGAAAAGAAATAAAGTGGTTCCGACCTAATGCTCCAACCTCCAACTCCCCCATCCAAAATACAAAAGGGCATAATGATCACTTTTTTTACTTTTACTAGGTCCATAAGCAGAAAGAACATGGACAAATATACAAGGACAGAGGAAGTAGTTAGATTCCGTTAATTCAAAATGAAGAAAGGAAATATGTAGACATGATTCCCAACACTGCACAATGCTGGAGTTTTCATATCCGGAACCAAGCAGACCCCCCCCCCCCAATCCTTCCCTGAAAAGCAAGCCTAAATCTCAAAGAATGGCATGCAAACAGATGCGTAGGAGACACCAAGGCATTTTGGTAGCACAGACGACAAAAAAATCAGTATAGACATTTTATTTTGGCAGAAAATACACCACGGCATTTACCAAATATAGTTTCATTAAAGTCATTTCAAGGTCTGCATGCAAACACTTTGAATAGGGTTCTATTTTTATTACTCTTTTCATGAATACTTCAAAACTTATAATGAACAATATTGTTCTACGTAGCATACTCTTACAAATAGATTATACAGAGATTCACAATGTTGATCTAGTGTATTCTAAGGCCAGAGAATTTTAATGTTGTATAGCTAATCACAGAGCACAATAAACCAAAAGATAGAGGGATTAGACAAGATAGAATTAAAAAACAGTACAGTATTTTAAGACGCTTCAAACGTCCAATTTGAGGAGGAATAGGACCAGTCAACTTGTTGTTATGCAGATCCCTGCCATACAGAAGGATAATGGAGTTTTAGTGAAATGTACAACATATATATAGTGCATATACTGGCCTGAAAATTGTGTTAGCCGGTTGTTCAAAAAAATTGTTAACTATTTGTTCCAAAAAGCTTGTAAAACAAGATTTCTGTAAACCAGGCTTGAAAATCGCTGCTCCAATACGTTTAAGAATCTCCTTATAAACCAGCTTTTTGGTCCCAAAAGCTCTCCTATAAAATTCTTTACCAACACACTTCTAGTAGCAGTTTGACCAACTCCTTCAGAAAAAAAAATTCACAAAAAGCTCCTCAAAAAACTCATTGCAAAACATCCCCTTTGTATATATAAAAATTAACCCAACAATTACCAACAATACTTGGGAGTATTCAAGCTGGTTACATATAATTAAAGAAATTAGGTGAAAAACGAACATAATGAATTGTTGCAGGAGAGAAAGGATAAATCCATTCAAATCATCCATTAGAACCAGAATAGGAAAGAAAATCCATTGGGATGGTAAGAGCATTAACAAGCAAAATAAATAAAGAAATAACACTTAAAGAATAAATCTTACAGTCTAGTAAGATCCAACAAGTTCGTTACAGCAGTAGGAAAAGAACCTACTATTGAAACAGCATAGACTTCCCTGAAAGTTGAAAAAAGGAAAATAATGATGAACTGAAGCACAAGCATATTTAAAAAAACTTTGTAGCAGTGTACAATTCCAACATCACTACAGTGGAACAACTTACAATTCCGTCACCACTCGATAATCACCCTCGGTGGAGCATGTTACCCCTGTCCAAGGGGGCAATTCACCATCTCCACATGGATCATCTCCCACCCAAGCATACACCACCCTCCATCCAAGAGATGCTTTAATTTCATTCAAAGCTTTTACTACACTCATCAACCATACAAAATTAGTCCACTATACCCAAGTTATTTCCTTTTTAATCTTTTTTCTAACCTTATCCACACCCTTTGCCCCAAATACATTCAAGCAGATGCATTAAAACTTAACAGCTTACCAGACAGTATAATATTCACTTTCCTTTCCAATCACTTCTATTTATCAAATCATAATTCTTATGGAAGTCACCTTTTTTTAGAATTCTTACGATCCACCAAACACTCTCATTAATTATTTATTTACTCCATAATTTTTAGTCTAAAACCAGCAGTAAATCCCATTATGTAGTGTTAGTATGTAGGAGTATACTACCTCCCTTCCAGAGTATATATCCAGTTTTGACTTTTTGCAGTCAAAATTAATAAACTTCAGCCATTAATTAAATGAAATTTATATTAGATATTGATAAAAGAATAATTTTAATAGATCTATCTTGTAAAATATTTTCAAAATATCTTTTTATCTAATGAATATACAGTGTAGGGCAAGTGTACATCCAACCTATTCAAATGATCATTCTTTAGAATGAAAATGATCATATGGAAAAGATTAAAATGAGGCAAAAGAAAATGAATGTTTAAAATAACAAGAATCATCAGAATATTACAAAATTTAGACGGACGTAGGTACATCTGGATGTACAATGTGATTTGAGATAGATTAAGGAACCTAAACTGTTAGCAATAACCCCTAACTGTTTGATCACAAATCCATAAGACTATTACAAGCATTTAACAATATGATACGAGTGCCTTAAACACATATAACAAAAGCAAGCAATCAAATCAAATGCTCACATAGACAAAAAAACATTATGACCCTAAACTTCTGGACTAACAATCAAAATTGCACTGAACCGCAGTAGATTTTCAACTAATTTTGCTGGTTTGAGTAGGATTTGCAAGTTTCCTCGGAAGCACGGAAATAGATGGAGGGGAACTGGGAAAATTACCATCACGCTTGAGGGTTTTACAGTGAACGGCGACGCTTGAGAGAAGCGAGAGCAAGAAGACGATGAGAATGGCTGACCTACTGCCCATCGCTGAAGCGCTCGCTAAAAACTGATTTCACTGAGTCGATCCCTCCGCGTCGAATCAGTCTTCCGGCACTTGCATCGACGATCACGGAGCAATCGAGATCTCAAATTGCCAGTGAATCAATGATAGAGCTCTGATCTGATTGGAAATCAAACTTTCCTGCTGTTGTTGTTTTCAACAAAATAGATTTGTGATTTTACTGATAATTTTTCAACAACACCAACAAACCTTATCCCACAATTAAAATTAAATAAAAAAAGACTCCCTATGTAATATTCTTATTTTTAACTAATTAACTTGTTTTAATCCATTTTTGTAAAGTTCTCTTTGTTAATTATGTTTCTTAATTAAACTTTTCTCTATTCTTTTGGGATGTTACCTTTTAATTGGGACTGTAAAATATTTCTTCCGTCCTGAGACATGCTTTTCGTTTCTGTTTACGAGCTTTGACCGACTTTATTTTAAGTTCAATTTATTTGACTGTAGGTATAAAATTAAAAAAATAAAATTTATCTATTTAAAAATTACATCAAGAGTTCTACAAAACAAGAAGTGACAAAATTATGTTATTTTATCATACTAACGAAAATAGGTAAATAAAATGATTAAAGTTTGATCGGGTGAATATTAACTGAAAAGAACGGTTTAGAACGGAGAGAGTACATTTTTTAGGTAGTGTCTAAATATTGACATTATATTTTAATAGAATTGACATTATATATATATTGTAAATCACAATTTTTTTGTTGTATGGGCAATGACATTATGGTTTGATGGAGTTTACACTATATGATAGAACTATAACTTGGTTTGGTACTCTGGATATATTTTTTTTTGTTTAGCAATTACTATGATCTAATGGCGATATCGAAAACAATGATGGAGGTAGACTGAGATGTTTGTTTTTAGGAATTATGATCTATTTTTATTAGTTTATTTTGTAAATAAATGTAATTCCGGAGTATATTTAAATTACAACTTATCAATTTAAATACTTATATAATTACATGCCACAGTGATACGCTATACATTGTGTGTTCCAATTGTCATTCAGACACAAAAGTCATAATTAAAGAATGAACCACATCCACATAGGTCATTCGAAGCCATCAGAAGGTTACTTGAAAGAAGATAAAATAAGCTTTAATCACATATCAATATCAAAAGATAGAGGCTACATATAGTATTTGTAGAAATTTTATGCTTAGCATAATTGTCTTTCAACACACTAATCAAGAATCAAACTCGAGTGATATTCCTTATGTATCACTTGCCTTATCAACTATGTAACGTCCACTGGCACAAAAACCATAGTTAATGAGGGTAGGCATAGTGGGACTGATAGTAGGATTGATACGCGTTTTAGATTTCCAGTGATCATTGACGCTAAAGGATATTTTAGGCACTTCAATGAAAATTGGATTTATTTGAAATAGTTTAAGTTTGTGGTTCTACTTTTTGTTGAATTTTTAATATTTTGCTCTTATTTAGAATGTTTTCCCATAGAGTTACAAATTTATAAAATTTGTTTCACTATCACCTCAAAAAGAAACAAAATTACCAAAAACTTGTGTTCCCATGATCATAATATCCATATATAAAATGTTGATTTTCTCACGCTTTTTATGGGTCGACATGAGAATCTTTTTTTCAAATAGCCCAATTCATTTATGACATTGATGAATTAAGATCCACAAAATAAGCGTAAACCTTAGGGCAATGACAGATTTTTCACACACTTTAATACTTAAAGAGGTCATGTAAAAATGAAATTGAGGTAAATTGCTGAATTGTGTGACTCTACTAAGAGCATTTTTATTCATTCCTCCCAAATTTCTCCTTCTCTCTTCTCTTTTCCATTCCAAATTATTTTCATCGTTAGCTTTCCTCACACCGCTTTAATAATTTCTCACACTTTCATTTTAAATGCATGGTAGATCCCACATGTCATAAACATTATTTTATTTACATAATTTTTATTATAATATACCAAGATACAAATTTATTTGTAAAAAAACACCTAAAATTTATTTTTTTTTTGTTTTAATAATAACACATGTACCAAAAACTTTACTTTATACTTCATCCGACCCAAATCAAATTACATTGTTATTATTAAGATTTCTCAATAATTTTGGTTGTTTGCATGTTTTCATTTATAATATGATAAAACAAAATATTTTGTTACATCTTTTTTGTAGACTTTTTAAATAATTTTTAAATACGTAAGTGTGAGATTTTATTATTATACTAATTTGTAAATAAAACTATTTTAAAAATCATGAAAATTTTCACGTCGTTCGAATATATAATTTTTTATATACTAAATCAATATAGTTTGCCTTTTAAAAAAGTAATTGAAATTTATAGAGCATATTTTTGAATTTTAATAAAAATGTATACCTCATTATTCATTACTTTTACATCCATTTTTTTAAATATATATATATGATTAAAATAAAAATGATAAGATCAACACTCTTTATTAAAAACAACATCAAAATTAAAGACAAAATGCATCAAAATATATTTACAATTTAAAAAACAAATGATAAACATTGAAATAAAAGACGATTTAAACAAAAATTAAAAAAATGTTAAATTGTATTTGAAAAGAATGAATGGATTTAAGTGGAAGATGTGTTGAATTTATAAAGTAAAAAATTAAAAAAGATCATAGAGGGAGGGCGACAGACTGCTACACTAGGAGGCCGTCATAATTTTCACCGAGAATTCTGTTTGGTTGAGCACCACGATTAGGGCATGCGTCGGGGCTGAAACCGCACCTCTCCTCCTGTAATGAAAGCACGCCTATGAACCTGAGCGGCACCACAAATTTTGCTTTTCATTACAAATGCCCTTAGGGTCCGTTTGGTATAAGGAATTGGTGGAATTAAAATTGAATTGAAATTAAAATTCTATGGGATTCAATTCCATAGAATTGAATTATGTCAATTTCAATTCATTTTTTGCACTGTCAATTGCAAATTCACATAATTTTTGTGCTACCAAACACCAGAATTGGAATTGAACTCTCTAATTCCATAGTTTGAATTCTATATACCAAACGAGACTTTAAGACTTTCCTCCATTAGGGATGCTCTAAGGCCCTGTTTGACATCAGCGTTAAGGTTTTAAAAAGTCTATCCAACGATAGTTTTTTTCGTTTGTATTTTCAAAATAAATCCATACCATTAAGATTTTATTTAAAAGTCTGGTGCTAATAAAAAAAGGAAAAATTACCCAAAATAATTCCAACTTTACCCGGTCTTTCAAAAATAATCCCAACTTTCACTTTGATACATAATAATCCCAACTTTATTGAAATTTGTCAGTTTTGGGTCGCCGTTAAGTTTCTAACGGAGGGTTAACGGAAATATCCGTTTTAGGCAACAAAATGAAAGTTGGGATTATTTTTTATGAATTTTTGTTTTTTAATTTTTTTTGAAATTTTTATTTAAATTATTTGAATTACTTTCAACCTCCATTTCTTTTTCTTTTTTAAAGATTATTCTTACATTTGAAAAAAATAGATATAAAAAATAATGAAAATGAGAAAAATAACTAAAACCATACAAAATAATCAAATAAATAATGTAATCAATAGAAATTAAACAGAAACTGGTAAGAAATAAAATAAATATATACGGAGTTGTGGGTTTTAACATTTTACACACTATACAGAGTCTTAATGTACTACTTATTTTTAAAAAGAACAAGCCGTCCAGTAAAGTTGGAATTATTGTAGATAATTTTTTCTAAAAAATAAGAAGTGAAATGATAATACTTTGTATAATGCGTAAAATATTAAAACCCACCCGTATATTTTTATTTTACTTTTACCAATTTCAAGTTAGTTTCCATTGATTACCTTATTTATTTTATTATTTTTGTATCATTTTAGTTACATTTTTCATTTTTTTCATTTTTTATACTCCTTCCGTCCGGAAATGATGTTCCCAGTATACCTTTTTTTTTCGTCTGGAAATGATGTTCCCAATCTACTTATTTTTTACCATTCTTTCAAAACTACCCTCTCCTCCTTTTTGTTTCTTTTTTCTTCCCGTCTTTCCTTTGGTTCTCCTTTCTCCTTGTGTGTTTCTATTTCCCCTCTTTCTCCTCATTTTCATTTTTCTTTCTTCTTCTCTCTCTCTCGGATTTGAGCCCCATTTTCTTCATCTTTTTCATGTACTTTTTCTTTTTCTTCTTCATTCTTCTTCTTTCTTCCCCTGCTCTTTTTCCGATCGCCCCCCCTCTTCGTTTCTGTGACGAAATCACCCTCTGCCTCTTCCTCTTCTTCTTCAATCTGCGATAGAGGGGGATGACAGCGACGGAGGAACTGGAGGTTGTGGTGGAGGCTGACGGCACTGTAGGTGTTGGTAGAGAAGGTGGGGTTGGCCGTGGTGGTGGGGGATGACAGCGAGCGACGGACTGACAGTTGTGGTGGGGGGCTAGCGACAACCGGGAATTGGTAGAGAAGGTGGACTGACAGTCTATTATTTTTATTTTTTAAACTAAGACTAATCTTTTAAAAAAAATAAATGATGATGGAGGTAGAAAGTAATTTAAAAAATTTAAATGAAAAATTTAAAAAAAATAAAAAAAATGAAAATTTATCAAAAATAATCCAACTTTCATTTTGTTGCCTAAAATGGGCATTTCCGTTAACCCTCCGTTAGAAACTTAACGGCGACCCAAAACTGACAAATTTCAATAAAATTGGGATTATTATGTTAATCAAAGTGAAAAGTGAAATTATTTTTAAAAGACCGGATAAAGTTGGGATTATTTTGGGAATAGACCCGCATGAACTAGCTTTCAAGTCCCCACATTATCCGTTTGTCAGAGATCTTCAGGCGCGCCCATTGCTCCTCATCAGTGACCTTCCAATTTAATCACTCTCGAAGATCATCTAACCTAATAACAAGGAAATTATCTGAAAAAATATGATTAATCTTCAGAACTCGATCGTTTTATGCTCTGTGTTTATACTGTTTGCATGCTCTTCTTCGCGTTCTTCGGAGGTTTTAATCTCCGTTTCTCCCAAAACCCTCGTAAAATCTGGCGACTCGGTGACGATACGGTGGTCCGGTGACGATTCCCCGTCGAAGCTTGACTGGATCGGGATTTATTCTCCGGCTACTTCCTCCCACGACGATTTCATCGGCTACGTGTTCCTGTCGTCTTCGCCGGGATGGGAAAACGGGTCGGGTTCGATCTCTATCCCTTTAGTGAATCTCCGGTCGACTTATCAGTTCCGGATCTTCCGATGGAACGAGTCAGAGATCGACGACGCGCGCACGGATGCCGACCATAATCCGTTACCGGGAACGGGACGCGTGGCGGCGGTTTCGGAGAAGGTTGGATTCGAACCGGGTCGGGGCCCGGAGCAGGTTCATTTGTCGTTGACGGGTCGGGATGGTGAGATGCGGGTCATGTTCGTGACCGGCGACGGGAAGGATTGTTTTGTGAGGTACGGGTTGACCCGGAATAATATGGATCAGGTTTCGGGTACTCGGGTCAGAAGGTACGAGAGAGAACACATGTGCGGTGCTCCAGCCAATCAAAGCATTGGATGGAGAGATCCTGGCTTCATCCACGATGGTATTTTGGTCAATTTGATGGATGGCAAGAAATATTTCTACCAGGTTATACCCTTTAAAATTTATTTCAAGGTTTCATTAAACGTTAAAAATTAAAGTGACTCATTTGACTAGGGATCTCAATTACAAAACTAATTGAAAAGTTGAATAAAATGTAAAAAAAAATGATTAAATGATTAGGGCTACGTATGCTTTTTGAAAATACTACTCTTTGCGTTTTGAAAATACTACTCCATATCTAAAAGGAGCCTTTAGCATTAGCATTTTTGAAATTGATCTACACGGTTAAAATTTTACCAAATAACGCTCGAATGGAAAATGTTGTTCCAACCAAGGTCTAAAAATTTATACTCAATTAACAAAATTCTCATTTCAACTAAAATAAAGAAGAATGTGCAACTAAAATAAAGAAATATGCGAAATAAATATTTAGTTAGTTATAAATGACTATTCGCCACACATGTAGAGGAAAAATTGTACATCGCGATGTAATAAATATATACTCCGTATTATTTTGGCACACGTCTGTTTTACCTGAAAACATTGCGGATCTAAGATTGGTTCGTACTCCTTAAATTTTAAGATTTCTTGAATACAATATTAAAAAATGTTCTCATGGATTCATGATAAAATTGTTTTCTTAATAAAAAATAATGTTTCACGGACCTTCAAAAATCTTTTTAATACTACGCATCAAATTTTTATTCGATGTTGTTTCAAAGATTTTGATCTATGAAAGAAGTATTTTAAATGATCACCGACATGTGATAAAACAATAGTTAATCAAAATTAATACTAGTATTTCATAGACATGCAAACATTTTTTTGGTCAGATTTAATAAATTTAAAAAACTCACGGACTAGTTTTAGGTTTGTGAAAATATATTTTTGGCATACTCGTATTATACAACAAATTATTTTACGTATTCTCTATTGGAATATTTTCGGGTATGGAATATGACTGATTCGCTTATGAATCGTGAAAACACTTTCAAGTAAAGTAATTTTGGTGGTAAGTTGTAAGCATTCTAGAACGAGTATGTAACATGAAATGTAATACTGTATGTAATAATATACTAGTATACAGAGTACTACGTACTTCATATGATATATTTATGACACTAACTTTTAAAAATAATTTTATATGAAAAAAAGGAGCATGCTACATGTACCCCAAAATTTGTACCTCATTTGTACACCAAATGTATGCACCAACATTTTGATGGTTCACACTGACACAAAGTGTTGGTGCGTTAACAAAAATTTACACTGACACAAAGTATTGGTGCGTTAACAAAAAATAGCATTACACCAACACAAAATGTTGGTGCATCCCAGCGGTGTACAAAATGGGGTATAAATTATTGGGGTACAAATTGCATTATTCAAAAAAAAATATTTCGTGTATATACTCCGTAGTAAGGACTAGTGGGAGAGAGCAATAACAACAAACTCAGTAAAATACTAAAATCTCACAAGTAAAATCCCACACAAAGTAGGGTGTGAGAGTGTGAATGTAGTATAAAGTAGAGAGACTCTTTCCAAAAGAAGCGAGCAAGGCAAGGTTCACTTTTTAGAAATCACCCTAAATGAACTAAAACATTACTTTTTGGTAATGTACATGACCAAGTTTGGTAATGTAAGTCATTTTTCGGGAATAAAAACATGGAAGTCCTATTTTGGTATATTTTCAATGTTTTAGTCCTATTTTGGTTTTTCTCCCATCACTTTTTGTGAATAAGGTACTTCAAATTTTTGTAAGATTAGACAACAGTCAAACAAGTCACTCTATTTTGCCCATCACACATAGCATGAAAGCAAGAATAGGGATGCTTCAAGAAAGAGCACAATGTCAAAAAAAAAGATCTCCTCTGGTTTAAGAAGGGGCATATTTTCAGGTTGGAGGTGATTCCGAGGGATGGAGCAATGTTTTCAGCTTTGTATCCCAAGATCAAAACTCAAAGGAGACGTTTGCGTTCCTGTTCGGCGACATGGGGACTGCAACGCCTTATTCCACCTTCTTGAGAACCCAAGAAGAGAGCGAATCAACCGTGAGGTGGATCATGCGCGACATCCGGGCCCTTGGCGACAAACCAGCAATGATCTCACACGTCGGCGACATTAGCTACGCCAGAGGCTACTCGTGGTTATGGGACAACTTCTTCACTCAGATAGAACCCATCACGTCCAGGGTACCCTACCACGTTTGCGTAGGCAATCATGAATATGATTGGCCATCGCAGCCCTGGATCCCAAGCTGGGCTGCCACGATCTATAAGCAAGACAGTGGTGGTCAGTGTGGGGTGCCCTTCAGTTTCAGGTTCAACATGCCTGGGAACTCCTCGGAATCGAATGGTGCCATGGCTTCAATGGGGGGAATGTAAGTTAATTCAAGCACTGTTTGTCTCTTTGTTACCCCCTCATAACTTATTCTAATCATTTGTGATTTTAGAGCTCTTTTGGTGAACTTTTTTATTTAAATTCAAATTAGCAGCTACATTTTTCGCAAAACAGGAACTAATATCTGTCTGATTTCACCTAGATGATTGAAAACTATTACTGTGTTTTTTTTGCTTAAACAAATTAGTCTTTCTATGCCTCATACAAATTGTTTTCTTTTAAGTTCAAATTATCACCTAGGTTTTTCACCGAACACTAACTTATCTCTGCCTTATTTCACATAGCTGATTGATAATAACTTGTTTTGGCTTAAATGAATTACATTAACGATTACTATTCTATACTTATTTTTTGGCTTCAACAAATTCAGTCTTTTCAGGCTTTATATCAATTGTGTTTGTTTTAAATAGCTGAAATGGATGTAATCTTTGCAGAAGATTTAGCTCTTTCAGCCAAATAATGCATACCAATTGGACCCTAAATACTTGAATACATGCATTAGGATTTAACAATTAACCTTATTGCAGATGAAACAATAAAAATAATATGTGAATGCATGATGCTTTGTTTCAGGGGTTCAATGACTTGAAATCTTCCCAGAAGATTAAGCCGTTTTAAGGGTTATGGTTTTTTTTGAGTAATTTGGTTGAAATGGATGTTATTTTTCTTAGAAGATTAAGACGCATCCATTTCAACCAAATTACTCTGACCCCAAACGGACTCTTAAGTCTTAAATACACGCATAATGATTGAACAATAAATCGATCTTTACCCCAAACGGAATCTTTAGTCTTACTGATCACATGATGTTTGGTTTCAGGGCTTCAATGACGCGAAACCTTTACTACTCTTTTGACATGGGAGTCATTCACTTTGTGTACATATCAACGGAGACGAATTTCCTCCCAGGGAGCGACCAGTACAGGTTCCTGGAACAAGACTTGGGGTCAGTCGATCGAGAGAAGACGCCATTTGTGGTTGTTCAAGGGCACAGGCCAATGTACACAACCAGCAGTGGCCACAAAGATGCTCCCCTGAGGCAGAGAATGGTCCAACACTTGGAACCCCTTCTCGTCAAGAACCGTGTCAGCCTGGCCCTGTGGGGCCACGTCCACCGGTACGAACGCTTCTGCCCTCTGAGCAATTTCACCTGCGGCGATTCGGGGGCTTTCCCGGTGCACATTGTGATTGGGATGGGCGGACAGGACTGGCAGCCCATTTGGGAGCCGCGGGCCGACCATCCGAACGATCCCGTCTACCCTCAGCCGGTGCGGTCCGAGTTCCGGGCGGGGCAGTTTGGGTACGCGAGAATCGTCGCGGACGCGGTGAAGCTGAGGTTTGATTACGTGGGGAATCATGACGGGAAAGTGCATGATGTGGTTGAAATCCTGGCTCCATATCGCCGGCCGGCTGCTGCTGCTGCTTCTCTTACACCTTATGGTGATTTGTGAATCTTGAGCGTCCTTCTTTTGGCATGGCTGGTTTCATGCCTACCCACAAAAATGGGCGAAAGTGAGAAATCCCTCTTCTTACAGAACAGGGGAAGAGGGAAGAAGTGGTATAGATATCTGGTGGCCCCCTTCTTCCCATTCTCCGGTCGTCATTTCCTCATCATAGCCATTAGCCAGTCCGGTATGTGGCTTTCCTTCTTGTTGATGTATAGGGTGTTTGAGGTTGTGGTGGATTCTTGAAAAAGCATATGCCAGGAGCAAGAAATGAAAAAAACATATATAATCATAACTTTGCTAGAACGCATTTTTAGAGCCTGTTTTGCATATCTGAAGTCATGTTGGGCTATCTGTAGTGACGGGCTTGGCGGGGGCTTGATGAGGTGCCACGCACCGCCTCATCACTAACATGAGTGATGAGGCGAAGATGTGGATTATTTTGATTGAATAAAAAAAAAAAGAAGCGCTTCCAGCCAAGATGGTCATCATCCAACAAGTAGCCACGCCCCATCACATGAATGGTGGCACGGTGCACTAGCATGAGGCTGGCGTGAAGAACGGGACCCCCCCCCCCCCCGAGGCCAAGCGCCACTACTCATAGCCTTACTCCGCCTCTCTGTAGTTGCGAGTTCTTCTCTTATCCCTATTGTTTAACCTCGAATTTCTTTTTAGCTACTGAATTGAACTTTTAATGTTGCTCTTGCCTATAGATTTACCCCAAGTATGAACATTTTTTAAAACATAACTACTCACTCTGCTCCTAAATAATGGGAATGGTTGATTGAATTTATTTTTCAATTCACTGTATACAAAAATTGAAGTAAAATTTAAAAACAAAATTCATAGATATCTAAAAAACTACACCAAAAATTTTATAAAAAATGAAATGAGAACATTGTTTTATTTTATTAAATGAGTTAAGAAATTAAGAATATAAATTGATTGATTCTTAATCTTATACTCCATTCGTCTCAATTTATATTGTTTGTTTTGATTTACGATGTTAGACTGAAATTATTTTCAAATCACTTTATATTAAAAAATGATGTAAAATTAAAAAAAATTACATATTAATATACTACAACAAAAGATCTACAAATATAGTGGTGACATGACTATTTTATTTTATCAAATCACTAACAAAAATAGAGAAAGAAAGTGAACGAAGTTTGAAAATTGTGAACAGTAACCATGAAATTTAATTTGGGACGGAGGAAATAATAGTGAGCGTGCAAATTAATAGGAAGCAGAAGTATTTTGTTCATCTTGAATTATTCATCTCACTTCACTATTCAATATTCACATATCAAATTTTATTTTATTTCTTTACTTATTTTTCTAATAATGTAATATAGTCATATCACTCTTATTTTTTTTTTAGAGAATTTCATGCTATTTTGTACATTGTAATATAGGGAGCATAACTTTTTCTTAAGAAATTGTATCATTATTTAAATAAATTAAACTAAAGATAAACCCAGTTAAGTCATAATTAAAATGATTTTGGGCATTGATCGAATTCTTGTCCAAACAATAGGCGATGACGTATAGTTGATGGGGGCATAGTCAAGGGTGGTTGAACGAGATTTATGGGTGGATGTGAATGAGTCAATGCAAGGTGTGGACGCAGAGGGGGATTAAAAGGAGCATGATGAGTGGAGGTGGCTGGGTGATGCGGAAGAGAGTGATGAGGTATGTGGGGTCGAGAAAAGGGGAAGGGGACGAGGCAGAAATGTAAATTGAAAAATAATTACTCCGTATCAAATTCAAATGAAAATTATTTTCTCCTATTTGCACTAAATTTATCAAAACACAGGAAAATACAATAAAAAATTTGCTAAAAAAGAATACCCAACCAAACACATCCTAAATTTAAGTTGGTACAAGTACAACACGTGGCATGCGTAGACTAGTCAATCGGAAAATTCTCCTCCGGGAAGTTCTTTCTCAACTACCCAATCGCCGCTCCATTCATTCTCATTTCTCGCGTTCCAGCTATCCAGGAATGACGACGCGCCACCTTCTCTCTCTCACGCGCTGCCCGCATCGCCTGAATGCATCATGCCTGAGTCAGTACACTCGATTCGCCTCCCATTTAGCCCAGGCTACCGAAGCTCCGGTAACGCCTTCCCCGCCACCTCCAGACCTCATGATCTACGATCAATTAGCTGAAGGAGTGAAATCCAAGCTCCGGCGACTCGAGAGGCCGGACCCCAGGTTCCTCCGATACAATTCCCCGCGTCCGACTCAGACCGATCACACCTCGACCCTCTCTTCTCCGGAGACTAAAGTGACGACTCTCCCGAACGGCCTGCGTATCGCCACCGAGTCCAACCTCGCCGCGAAAACCGCGACGATAGGCGTGTGGATCGACGCTGGATCTCGGTTCGAGGCGGAAGAGAGCCACGGCGTGGCGCATTTCCTCCAGCACATGATCTTCAAGGGGACTGAGAAGCGGCCCCGCAAGGCTTTCGAGGAGGAGGTTGAGAACATGGGAGCGCGCATGAATGGTTTCACTTCGAGAGAGATGACCGCGTACTCTGCCAAAGTACAGGGCAGGGATGTCACCAAGGCGCTCGATCTTCTGTCTGACGCGATTCAGAACCCGGATATCCAGAATGAGAAGATTAATAACGAGCGCAAAGTGATTCTCCGAGAAATAGCAGAGGTATGAGTATGACCAGTTTGCTTTCTTGGTTATAGTCATTTAGAATGCAGCCATTCTAGTTTTAAGTTTATACCTCTTTATAATTGTGTTTGATGTTACTATTATTTCTTCTATTTCGGAATGATTTTAGAAATTGGAGTAATTCTTTATGATTGAATTGATTGAGCTTTAGATTGTTGAGTCGTTATCTTAGACAGTTAAACAACAATTGACCTTGTTTGTACGTGGACCTTGCCCCTATGTATATCATGTAAAGAGGTTGTTTGGAAAGACACCTAGTTTACAAGGAGAATAGAAAATTACCCCCTAAAAACTTGGACTAGTTCTCATCTTGTCGGTGCAATCTCTTACACCGCTTCTGGCCTTGGACATAACCCTTGAGCTATAATGCTACATGCACATGATGGCACAGTTATGTTTTCCTGCCATCATTAGCTGATTTGACGTATTTAGGACATACGGGGGGGGGGGATATATGCCTAATCATGGGAGCTCATTTTGATATCTAACTACTATAGGAATAGAACATGTGCTGTAGCTATATTTCTACTCTGGACAAGCATTGTTCTTGAGTCTTTAAGAGTTTGATGTTGGGCCAAACCTACTAAAAATCAGCACCGGTTAAACAATTTGTTACTTCCAAGAGTGTTCTAGAACCTACTCTGGACAAGATCTTGTTTTGCTGCTATTGTTTTTTTGCGATGATTCAAAAATTGAGTCCTGTACATCTCTTATTCAGCATACACAACTTTCTTAACCACTTCAGAATTTGTTACTTTTGTGTCCAATTTATGGTCGAAGGTAAAAAACTATATTAGATTTCAGTTATCCTCTATGTGATATGTTCGAGAGTTTCTTCATGCAGGGTGAAAAAGATCCCAAGAAGATCATTTTTGATCATTTACATGCCACTGCATTCCAATTCACTCCTCATGGTAGAACTGTTATTGGATCTACGGAGAGCATTGAAAAAATTTCAAAGCACCACATTCAGGATTACATTTCAACCCACCATGCAGCTCATAGAATGGTACTGGAATATTGTTGATTACATTGTGCCACACTGCCATGATCATATAGTTATTGAAATTTTACTTTTTTGGAAATTGTCTATTTTTCTGTATATTTACATGTATTGTTGTTGTTTTTGTCATTATTATTATTATTATTATCATTTAGTTTGTGAATCCTCAAATATTTCATGCATGCCAAATTTTGTTGTAGGTTATTTCTGCTAGTGGAGCTGTTAAACACGAGGATGTTGTTGAACAAGTGAAGAAGTGCTTTACAAAACTATCTTCTAACCCTGTTACCCCTTCTCAGCTGGTTGCAAATAACCCTGCAATATTCACTGGCTCAGAGGTGTGTGCATGATGTGCATATTCAATGTCTGTATATTTGACATAAAACCATTGACATTCTGTATTATTTTATGAATAATAATCTTAGGTCCGGATTATTGACGAGGATCTGCCTCTTGCTCAATTTGCTGTTGCCTTTGCCGGTGCATCCTGGACTGACCCAGATTCCATAGCATTGATGGTCATGCAACAAATGCTTGGATCATGGGACAAAAGCTGTGGAGGGGGAAAGCACATGGGGTTGGTCTTTCTTATTCCTAAATACACCTAAATAGTTTGCTCTATTTGTTACATAACTGCTGTGTTGTGGATAAATGCTTTACAAAGTGGTAGTTGAAATTAAAATGCCAAGAATTGAATAAAATCGTGTTTGGGGTTATAAAGAATCAGCCCNCAGCCCCAACTCCTGGGAATCTGTGATCCTGAAACAAAAGTGCTTTTGACTTAGAAGATTCCTAGGAGTCCCCAACAATGCAACATGGGTATTCCAAACGAGGGCTAAAATATATTGGTGTTTTTGCAACGTTAGGAAATGGTGGTTCCTAGGTACCTTACAATTCCTATTTTTTATCCCAAAGATGGGTATTCCAAGCAAGGCCTAACAATATTGCACCACGCCTAGGATTCAATCCCCCCCCCCCCCCACGGTCTACACACACAAAACATCCTAATTAGATGTGAATTATTAGTTAGTTTGCAGAACATAGTTGTGTAGGCCTAGGCTAATTCTCTAATGTACTGCTATAATGGTATGTGAACAGTTCACATCTTGTCCAAAGGGTGGCAATTAATGAGATAGGTGAGAGTGTGATGGCTTTCAACATGAACTACAAGGATACAGGGCTATTTGGCATCTATGCCGTAGCAACGGTGAGTGCAGTTCTGAGAAAATGGTATTTTATCTTCAGAGGAATGATATTCATTAAACTATTAAAGCTAATCATATGAATGTGAGATGCAGTTGTTTGTTCCATCTTCCAATCATTCCGTCCCTGATTCCATGGCGCACCATTGCAATATCTCATGTTTCTCTTGTGTATGAAAATTAACATACTCCCTCCGTCCGAATTAATTGCAACACTTTGACCATGGAGTTTAAGTGTTGAAAAGTAAAAAGTGTGCAGTTGAAATTTGTTTAGAGGAGAGAGAAGAGTTATAGACCTTATAGACCACTTACTCTTTACTTGAAAGTAAAAAAAAAGTGTGAATATTATTTTGAGACAATCCGGAAAAGGAAAGTGTGAAGATTAATTCGAGATGGGGGAGTATTTCAGAGTAAACTATAAGTTGGTACTCATCAAATATCGATTTGGTAACTCTTGTGATGT